ACGGAGAGAAGGGGCCCGAGAACGCGGGGAGGCGTCAAACAACTCACCTAGTTTGTTCCTGTCTTCCTTACGTCCGCTCGGCGCTCGGCTGGCCCCCTCGCCCTTGGTCGCTTTACTTTGGACGCGTAGAAGTGTGTAGGAAGGCGTCCACTAAACTGCTTTGGCGCTCCGGCACCACAGTAAGCTGCTGCAGTACAGAGCTTTGTTCTCGCGCACGGTTAAAACAGTTCCTAGTTTTCCTAGGTACTCCCTGTAAATCGCCTATTTCTTTACCGTTGCGGATTCCTGAAAAAAAAAACACGAAAAAAAACAGGGATTGTTTTTTTTTGCCATGGGCCATCAACGATCTACTGCCCACATACCATCCAAACCATTCAGAGATCCCCAGACATTCTAGAGCATTGTAGGCATCCAGGCATCCAGACCATCCAGACATCCAGGCACCCACATCGTCCAGATCGCACCGGCGTAGGGTGTTGTCTGCGGCAGCGTTTACAACGGGCAGTTTGTTGTTCGGCTTCTTCGCGTCCAGACTCCCCTTGAGCGCACTCAGCGGACTCATTCCCTCATTTCGGGCAACGCCTCGTCTCGCTCCGTCTCTCTCGCACCCCTCAAGGCGCGCCCCACGAGTGCGAGAGAGACTGAGCGCTCGCCTGGACGGCCATTCAGGGTGACCGTTCACCGGCAATAAGTTCTTCTGGCAGTGCCGCTGACGTGACGTCACGAGTAGTTGACAGGGCGAGGGCGGCCGAAGCTTGCCTCGCCCAAGTTAGAGGGAGGCTTTGCCGGTGTGTGTGTATGTGTGTGTGCTTTGGCACGCGCAAACTCGGTGGCTCGTGGTGGTGACGTGAGGGATGACCACGCGGAACGCTTGGGATTGCCAGGAATCGACCCTCTGAACACACAGGGGGTGGGGGGTGGGGGTGGAGGAGTGGGGGAAGTATGCGTGCGGATTATTGCCCATCCTTTTTCACCCTTTTGCCCCTTCTTGCTTGGAGGGCACGTCGTCGAGTCAAGGTGAGACAGGGCGGGGATGGGGGTCGCACGGAGCCTTACTCAATGCCGCTTGACGAACATTACAGCGGACTGATTCCGGCCAATCTTTCTCCCCCTCTTTCTCGTTCTCGAGGGAAGTTCCGCACGACGCGTCAGAGGGACTCAGCGACGGAGCACTCTTCAGTAAAACTGCACCTCACCTTGGGATGCGTCCCTGGTGGTGGTGATGGTGGTGGTGGTGGCGGTGGCGGTGTTGGTGGTGGAGGTGGTGGACGGCGTCTCCGCCATCGTCCTCCTTGCCTGGCCGCGTCGTTGGGGGTGCGGACCTCGGCGTACTTCCTCCCCATCGCCTTGTTGGTGACGTTGGTGGGCTTCGGCCTGACCGCATTTTCCTTTTTGGTGGGCATCGTGTGGACCATTTATTATTGTTTTCCTTTGGTGGGCTTCCTCCCCTCCTGGCCGCACTGTTGTTGTTGTTGTTGTTGGGTGGGTGGCGTCGTGTAGCTGTCGCTGCCCTGGCTGCCCATTGTCCGTCTGAGGCGTTTATCTCCTGCTGACGCGCGAAGACGCCGACGCCGCGACGCCGCGACGCCGAGCAGGTGATCGCTGGCCACCAAAAGCAATGAGTAATTATTTTCGAGTGCGTCGCGCGTGACGGCGCCGCTGCCTGTGTGAGTGTGTGTGTGTGTGGTAGGGCGTGTTGGTGTGGGTGTGCCGGCCCAGCTTCTTCCTTGTCGGGGAGGAGAAAAATAGCTGCCAGGGCGGAGCATTGTTCCAGAGGAGCGTGAAAGACTCCGCGATGTGTTTCATGTCAGTGTCAGCGCGCGACTCGGCGCGACTTGCAGCTGTGTGTGTGAGAGAGACGGCGCGCCGCAGCAGCCCCGCTCCTCTCGCCTCCTCCAATCCGGGGAAATGGCGGCACACTGCTCGGAGCGTAAGGGAGGCGCTATTTGTCGTTACTTTTACCTCATCTCCTGATGGAGGACAGGGAGGGAGGCGGTCCCCGCCACGGCCGGGCTGGCGGCTGGCCAGGCTGGGTCGCGCCGGGTCGAGTCGGTGTGCCATTTCCTTTCCGGTGGCGCGTCGGAGCGGCGTTTCGCCGTCCCTATTCATTGTTTGATAGCAACGTCGCTAATGAATTAAAGCAAAGCGTCCCTCCCCCTCCCCTTTGCACTCGACCCTTTCTTATCGTCACGTGCTGAGCACTTCCGATGGCGTTCCTCCGCGGGGTCCTCTCATTGGCTGGAGACGGTCCCGACCGCCCCGATTGGCCCACTGCGATAACGGCCAGCCGCCCCGCCCCGCCCCGCCCCGCCCCGCCCCGCCCCGCCCCGCCTCCTCCCAGTCTCCCAGGAGCAGTCCCATAAGTCCTGGCGGGCGACCGCGTCCTCACGTCACCGCGCGCGTCACCGTCACCAAGCGACCGCTACTCGAACTGGTCCCGAAAATATCGGACCATCGCCACACGAATTTTAATTGCCCACCAAAAGCCGCTCTGTCTGTCCGTCCCCCTGTCTGTCCACTGTCCAGCTTGACCTTTGCAAGGACCCGGCCTCCTGGAAACTCCATGGGAGTGACTCCCTGCAAGTGGCCCTGCAATGTCTTGCTCAACACCGCCGCGTGGCACGGCACGGCACGGCCCGGCACGGCATGGCACGGCGTGGCGTGGTGCTACACTGCGGCGATCGGGGCGCCGCAATAGAGCCGTGCATAGCAATCACACGGCGTGGCCACGGCGGATCCACTTTCTCTCTTTCGGCTGCCCGTCTGTCTGTCTGTCTGTCTGTCTGTCTGTCTGTCTGTCTGTCTGTCCGTCCGTCCGTCAGTTCGATTCACCAATTTGGGCGTTGCATCCCCAGGCGGCGGTGGCGCTGCTCGCGATTTGATAGTAGCAAGCGAGAAAACTTGTTACACAACGAGGAAGAGGGAGCACGCTGGCACGGGAAAGGGTCCGCTGCTGTGTGGGCGTGAGCGCGTGTCTTAGCCGGCACACTGTCGGTTAGGGGGGGGGGGGGGGGGGGCACTTGCTCCTAGCCGGAGCGAAAACGTGTTATACTGTTTATTGAAATGTTTTTCTCTTCTTTTTCCTCGCCCTTGTCTTGTCTAACGGTGTGGAAATGGGATCGAGAGGGAGAAGATTGGAAAGGCGTCTGGCGAATTTGAAGGGGGCGCTTACGCTGCGTGCGGCGCAGCGAGGGAGCATCCAGCCGATCTACCCAGTCTGCCAGTGTGCCACCTCGACCACTACACTGGGATGGGTTTGGTCACCACAAAGGAAAGAGCGTTGCACTGCGGGGCCCCAGTCTGGGACGACGACGCAACACCTACACTGCACTCAGGCACTCAGTGCCTCTCCCGGAGCGAGCCAAACAAAATCATAAAAATTGTCCAATATGTTGACCGGCCACTTAGAGGCTGAAAAGGGGGTCGCGCGTCCATTCTGCCTGTCGCCACAATGTGTCGCGGCAAAGCTGAGTGGCCTTTCCTCGCACGCACGCACGCACACACACACGTGATGCAACAGTGTGCACAATGTGCATCCCCGCGCGGCGAGGTCGCGCGGAGTCCAAACTGTGGACCGCACCGCCGCGTCCCGCCGCGTCCAATCCCAGTGGCCTGACGACGGCCCGACGCGGCCCGACGTGTGAAATGTTTTGGAGAGGCGCGGCTGCGTCGCTAACGGCCCTGAAGAGGGAGTGACAGAGACGGAGCGAGCAAGACGAAGCGAGACGGCTGGCCCGAGGAGGTGTGGCCGCGATGCACGAGACCCGTTTAGGTGGACACAGCAACAACTTGGGACACTTTACTGGCTCAATGCTGCTCAAATAGTCCTGATCAGAATCGAACGCTCGACGTTAAGACCGATCGATTCCTCGCTTGGAGAGCGATGCAAAGAGTGTGAGGGGGAAACGACTTCGGTTATCCGATGTACAGCAAATTGGTTATCCGCTATCCGGATAGCCAGAAATTTCGAAGTAATCCGGGGAAATTTTGAGGTAATCCGGGGTAATCCGGGGAAATTCTGAGGTAATCCGGGGTTATCCGGCGCAATCCTGGAAATTTTTCGATGTAATCCGGAGGTAATCCGCGGGTTATCCGGGGTTATCCCTATCTGATTTACACAAAATTTCTCAGTCGTTTCCCCCTCGAAAGAGTGGCACTTCGACTTGACCCCCCCTGGGCCCGCCACTGCGACATGCCGTCCCCACACGGCGCGGCGGTGCTTGAGGAAATCCAGCTCTGACGCCAGCGGCAGGCGAAAATCAATCAGGGCCACGCAGTGGCGAGGCGGCACTGCCGTCGAGTGGCGTGGCTTAGTTTCGCGATAGCACTGCAAATCGGCCGCGCATAAGCGGCCCTGGGCTGTCAAGGAGCGCCGGAAGCCCTCGTCGTTCACAAGAGTCTTCCTTCTCTACCGAACTCACGGGAAGCGGTAAGGCGCTCCGGCGGGGTGCGAGAGAAATAGCTGCCCCTTCTGGTGTTGCTAGCGCTGCTGCTACCTCTGCCCTTCGCGGTGGGGGCGACCCGCTGCCTGGAACTCAGCCTGGACGTCGGCCTGGACCGCAGTGACCAATGTTTACGTTATCGTGCCAGTGTGCCCGCCGGCCGCGACGCACCAGGCAGATTCCGCACTGTCTCTGTCGCACCTGCACGCGGCGCCGAACCAATCAGAGCGACGAAGATGATACGCGGAATGGTCGCAGCGCGGGAAGCATCCCCGATAAAGTGGAGTGTCGCATTGAGTTCGCCGGACGCTTTCTTCGGAATCACTTATAAATACTGGCGCTCGCGCGGCGTGGCGCGGCAAGGTGCCCACGTGCGCGGTCGCGCGGCGCGCGGCGCCGACTTTGAACCATCGTGCTTGACGCCGTCCTCCTCGTGCTGTCCCTCCCGCACTCGCGGAGCGTGCCGTGGCGGTGCGAGAGAGACAGCGCGAGGGCTGGGTCGACATTTGGCCGGCAAGCGGCAGCCCTCGGCCGACCCTACCGAATGACGTGCGAGGGCTAATCAGGACTTTTATCTCGAGTGGGTACTCGCGGCGCGGGCTGATGAAGCTGGTCGCGCCGAAGCCTTTGCCTGCACTGCCTGCACTCGCCAGTCCGACGCGACGACGCGACCAGCAGCAACACAGGTAGGCAGGACTCCACCACACTGCTTCCTGTCTGTCGGCAGTAGAGCGGCGACCGGTTGAATAAGGGAGCTCACGGTGAAACGTCCAAGGATTTCCAGGAATATTGGTCAATACTCAGGAGATGGTTTTTCCGTGTTGTTGTCCAGTGGACTAAGGGTGTGGTGGGAGAAAATGTTTCGAAACGAGTGAACCTGACCCAACCAGCGAAGCAACGCGAGCTCCACCTCTAGTGAGACAAAATTTCACTGCAATGTGGATCTGGAGTGAATTTGAAACGAGCCGTTCCGAGAACTGACGATTTTCGGACACCGGAGAGGGGGCGGGCCGGCGGGGTCGTTGGCCCCAGGGAGGGCTCCATGGAGTGGCGGCCAAGAGGGACGTGCTCTTCAGCGCCTTCGGATTTACTCGGAATTCTGAGAGCCGTGGCGGACAATGGTGTCAAGGGTTGAAAGCGCGTTTAAAGATTCATGCAAAATACGTCCTTGGGAACGTCTGTTTTCACTTTGTCCGAGCGAACCGAGTTAACCTGATTTCGGGATGCCCCCGGCGTCCAATTTCACAGGCCGGCTAAAAAAGAAAGTAGAGCAGGTGGTTATCGGGGGAGGATTTTATTTTTATCTCGCTGAGGACAGATTAGCCGACACTTTCCAAGGACGGGCGCGGCCCCGCACCGGACGCCAGTTTCGACTTGGCGAGCCGTTTTCGGCTTTTAATGGCTGCCGGCGCTGCTGGCCTCGATAGGTTCGATTCAGCAGCCCTTTTGGCGCTATTTCCGGTGAGGGTTAGCAGTGGAGCGGAAATCCCCCGCCGGTTAAGCAGGGAGTGAATTATAATTAGAATCGCCATTACTGGCCCAAGACTGGCCCGCCGGGCCCGCCGGCCGGAACAGCCTCACTACACGTGTACCTCCATCATTACGCCGCGGAGTCGGCTTACGCTCGCATCAAATTCGCAGTGAAGGGGCGATTACTGCAGTTGGGGGGTTGGCGCCCGCCCTGCCTTGGCGCCGCCCAGAGATAAGAAAGACAACGCTTGCGCTATTACCAAAGTCGGGCCTCGACTCAAGTTCCCTCCCCGCCCAGGGCCCGCCTCGCCCGCCGCGTACGGCCTCCCTCCGACACACCTGCCTCGAAATGAGGGCTGCTACCTGCAGCAGCCTCACTCCGAGTCGTCGCTCCGTCTCTCTCTCTCTCTCTCTCTCTCTCTCTCTCTCTCTCTCTCTCTCTCTCTCTCTCTCGTGCCCTGATGACGGGACGCCTCATGAGTGCGAGAGAGACCCTTCCGCGGACTGTCGTGCTAATGACTGGCTTTTGCTCCCTGCTGCAGGATGGCTCCGATGGAACTGGCGGGAAGACTGCTGGTGCTGGGGTGCTGGCTGGCGCTCACCCACTCGGCGTCCAGCGCGGGGCCGCCGCCACCGGGGGGCGTCCACGGCCACCACGCCCTGTTCGAGGACGGCAAGACCGCGCCCTCCAACATCCTCATGGTCACCATGGGCGGCACCAGGAGCCACAAGGTCCCCTTCATGGCCCTAGGTTGGTATAGCACGGCGCCCTGAAAACTGCGCCTTCCACAGTGGGCCAGAAAACCGCTGGAGGCGGCCAAAATTCTAGACCCGTTTTGAGCTTCCGAGTCGCTAAACAAAACTCGAACCAAACGTGTGACTTCACCTGATTCCTTGGTCGAAGAGCACTCCATTGGTGGGGTCACACGCTCGGTTCAAGTCCCATTTCGCGACGCTAGAGCTCAAAACGCGTCTAGAATTTTGGCCGCCTCCGCCGGCCTTCTGCCCCGCTGTGCTGTGCCTTCTTGCTTTTTCGTTCGGTGCGTCTTTTCCGTTGTGTCACAAACGGCGACCCCGTTTCCAAGCCGCCGCTCTTCTGCGTTTCGATCAGAGGGAGTGACTGCGAGCCGCACTTTTCCAAATGCCCCCCCCCCTTCCCCCAGCCTCTCAGCAGACTCGACACGTGAGAGGAGAGTTTACCCCGCGCGGCTTGTCGGCTCGTCGCGGTAAAGGCCCGGCGCGCAAGGCTCGGCTCGGCTCCCCTACACCGCAGATGAGGGCCTTTTGTCCGCGGCGAGGTGCTCCACGAAGACGTGTGGTGCACGCTGAAAAAAAGAGCGCGGCTGCTGAGAAGAGAACAACAAAAAGACGAGTACGGTGGTTTACGAGGACCTCATTGCACCACGCGAGCCAAGTATCACGAGTTTGCGCTTTCTCAGTAGAGCCCTCGCGAAATCCCCCACTACTTTGCCGCAGCTTAAAAGTGCCCTGATCGTGGCTGCCGAGCCCCCCACTAGTTTCGATTGGACCTTGCGGCCGAAATTTTGTGTGCCAGGTTTAAGCAGAGCCTGGGCCTCCCCCCTCTCCCCACCGCTAGGCCGCTGGGACGCTGGGACGCTGGGACGCTGGGCTGTCCAGCTTCTTAAAACGCTTTAGAGAGTTTGAGGACGTCGCCGTCCAGCCCACTGCGCAAATTAATTTTCTCTTCTGTCCCTCGAGACCCTGCAGATCCGGCAGTCGATTCCGCCCGGCATTATGGTGGCCACGCCATTTTTCTCTCTCGCTCGCCTCCCTTCTAGCAGATCTGCGAAAAAAGAACAGGTTTTATTTTTACTTTTGGCAGTGGCGTTAAGCCGTCTGCCGCCGCAATGATTTGCCGCGCACTGTGCTCACACTCGGCCGTTTTGTTGAAAATGTGACCGGTTCGGCGCTAGACAATTAATGAACGCTCCTCTTTTTGCTCGCGCATCGTTTGTCAGCTTGCCAGCTTGTCAGCGTGTCGGCGTCCGCGGGTCATTGTCATGTGGTGGCCTTGGCGCTTCAAATAAGCCAGGCACTGTTTTGCAGGCCGCGCGCTGGTGCAGAAGGGCCACAACGTGTCCTTCATGAACGCCTTCCCGCCGGCCAGGGACTCGGCCGAGGAGCCCGGCTTCGAGGAGGTGACGCCCCTGGGGCTGGTGCTGTACATCAGGAACTACACGGACTGGGACCTGGTGGGCGCGCGCTTCCGCGGGGAGGAGCCCGTCCCCTGGGACCAGGCGCTGGCGTACACGTACGAGGCAAGTACAGTGTGGCGGTACTTGGAGGCGCCGCGACGCAGAAGGCGCCCGCGCGCGGCCAGCCAGCGGGCGGTGGTGCCGGTTGGGTTGCCTACCTGGAGGCCCGCGGGCGCCTGCCGGCCCGTCACGCGCGGCTGTGCGGCGGGATGGCCTACCTGCCGCTTCGCAGGCGCTTCGAGGTGCGTTGAGGACTGTGCTTTAACCTTCCCTTCCTCGTTATCCAGACGTGCGACTCCATGCTGTCCGACCCCGAGACGCAGCACTTCCTCCGCTCGGGCCGCCACTTCGACCTCCTGATCCTGGACGGCGCCTACCCGGACTGCGCCGTCGGCCTGGCCCACCACTTCAAGGCCCCCTTCATGTACATTAACACGGTGGGCTTCCACATGGCCGCCGTGTCGCAGTCGGGGTCCCCCGTCCCTTACGCCACCACGCCCTTCCTCAGCAGGGCCTTCACCGACAAGATGACGCTCCTGCAGAGAGCCGAGAACACCTTCTTCCACAGCATCTTCTGGTTCTTTAACAACTGGCTGGTGAGTTAGGTTAGGTTAGGTTAGGTTAGGTAAGGTTCCAAGCCAAAATATTTTGATTCGTATTCGAAACTTGGGTTTCTAAAGAGCAGTGCTGTTTCAGATGATGCCGCTGGTCCAGAACGTCCTCAACAAGCACTTCCCCACCATGCCCTCCATCTCGTCCATGACCAGGAACGTGAGCTTCATCCTGCAGAACTCCCACCACACCCTCACCTACTCCAGGCCCTACCTGCCCAACGTGGCCGAGATCGCGTGCATCCACTGCAAGGAGGCCCGTCCTCTGCCCAAGGTGAGTGGCCTCCCCGAGTGAACCGCGGCGCTGCCGGGTCGTCGTGTTCGGTAGTTTGACCGCCCTCTGCCCTCCAGTACCTGGACGACTTCGTGCGCGGCGGCAAGGGCAACGGCTTCATCTTCGTGTCCATGGGCTCCTCGGTGCGCGCCACCAACATGCCCGAGCTGCTTCGGCTCCTGTTCCTGCGAGTGTTCGCCCAGCTGCCCTACCAGGTGCTGTGGAAGTGGGAGTTCGGCTCCGAGAGCATGCCCGACCTGCCGCCCAACGTCCGCCTGGAGCGCTGGCTGCCCCAGCAGGACCTGCTGGGTGAGTCCAAGAGGAAACATGAGACGGTTTCTTTGAAAAATACTGGGGAATTCTAACGTGCGCTCACTTTGTTCGAAACGCCAGGCCACCCGAAGATCGTGGCCTTCCTGACGCACGGCGGCCTGCTGTCCATGTTCGAGACGGTGTACCACGGCGTGCCCGTGGTCACGATGCCCGTGTTCTGCGACCACGACGCCAACTCCGCCAAGGCGCAGGACGACGGCTACGCCATCAAGCTGGAGCTGCAGACCCTGACCGCCGACGAGCTGCTCACGTCCCTCAACGCCGTCATCCACGACCCCAAGTAAGTCGCCTCTCTGTTGGGTTGTGCTCTGCGAGTCGCGGTGTAGTCTAACCTCGCTGCTTGCAGGTACCGAGCCGCCGCGCGCTACCGCCAGTCCATCCTGCGAGACCAGAAGGTGGGCCCGCTGGACACGGCCGTGTACTGGACGGAGTACGTGCTGAGGCACAAGGGCGCCCCGCACCTCCAGTCCCCCGCCAGGGACATGCCCTTCTACCAGTGGCTGCTCCTCGACGTGCTGGCCGTCTACGCCGTGCTCGTCTTCCTCGCCTACAAGACCACCAGCCTGATGGGCCGCTTCGTGTACCGGTGCATCACCTCCTCGCCGACGTCCGTCTCCACCAGCAAGACCAGGCCCGTGGTCATGGCCAACGGCAAGAAGCGCGACTAGGCCGTCGTTTACCCTGGTTTCTCTTTTGGGGAGGACTGGGAGGGGGCGGCAGCAATTTTGAGACGGAGTTGTTCCTCAAACGTGTCAGTTTAAATGGTTTTAAACTGATGCGTTTGCAGCCATTCTGATCAAAGAGTAGGAAACAAAGATGGTGTAAAATGAATCTATTTTTAAGAGGGAATTTCTTGGGTACAATTCCTGGTAAATGTACCTTGGAGCGGTGATTTTATGTTACTCTAAATACTGACCTTGACTGTGATTGCATAAGGTTTGGAAGTCCTGCCTTATGCCTATTTTCTGAATATAGTGTACATATGTATAATGTAAATAGTGCCTAATATTCTAGTGTTATATATTGTTAAATTTAACACCATTGGTTTCTCAATCCAAAAGATATTTCTGCTCGAGTCATGGCGCGTGGGTTATTGCGTGCCTCTCTCCGACTGCCGTGATCAAACAACGGCCAAAAATTGCAGTTCCGGGCTAAAGACTTTAATTTCGAGTCAACGTCGGCTACACAGGGTCTCTGATTACGCAGCCTAGCGTGCATATCGACTGTTATTTCGTGCAATTGTGTCTGTTGTGTATATTTATATTCTGCTTTTATGTTTGTGTGCGAGTACATACATGTTTTTTTTTGTCCCGAAACGAAAAAATACACATGTAAAAATATTAACTTTTTATTTGTTCCATTTTTCTTTCACGCGCAAGTTCTTGGTACTGTACACATGCTGACGACCAAGAGGAGAGTAATATGATACGTCCTTCCATAAATCCATTTTATCTCATCATTTGAACTTGAAATGGAAACGCTTCCAAACAAAAAAAAAGACATTTCCTACGTCTTTACACATTTAGTGATGAACTTAAAATCGCTTTTTAATTTACGGTACGTTTTTGCCAAATCCTACCTAGTTGGTAAAGCAAAACTACCCTGTGGACATCCAAATTTAGGTGTTTGTGTTTTAAATTGATTGTAAACTTCCGCACTGGGGCGGCTTTTGGCTATCCCGGTGCATCCTTAATCCACGCTTCAATTTTTGACCGGTGCTCGGCTAAAATAGACATTAGTTTTGATGATGTGCAAGACTTCGGTCCGTTTGTACAGAAAACTTTTCTGTACAGTCGGCTTAGGACGGTGTATTACTTGTAAATTTCTAGCAACTAAATCACATTTATGACGAGACCGCAAGTGATACACTTGGCAGCTACAGGAGGCGCACTCAAAGCATTACCACCAACCTATCTACTATTACCATCGAACGAACTAGAGGATCATGCTGTTTGAAGAAATGAGCAGTAAGCACAGCAACATTTCAGTCATGAGCACTTATAACTAAAATTACCACATACATATGCTACAATCTTACAACTTAACAAAAAAAAATGACTAGCAGCAAAAATTAAACCTATAATTGATGCACGTTTCACCCTGAGCTTGTCCAAACAAAAAAATTGAGCTACTTCGCAGCCCACCTGTCTTTTTCCACCTAAAATCCCTCGCCAGCAGGGGTCAGTGAATCAACAAGCTGCAATCTTTTCAGGGTGTCTCACGTGACTGTTCCCAAACTAAGTACTCTTGTCTCCCCCGCTCGACCACCCCGCGTGCCGGCGCCCCCCTCACGTCTTGCCGTTCTTGGTGGGCGAGGGCGTGATGGTGACGGACTGGCGCTGCATGACGTACATGGCCAGCGCCCCCATGAACATGAGCATGCCGAGCCCCACGCCGATCCAGCGGCCCACGCCCGCCACTCGCAGCGTGCGGAACAGCTGCGCTTCCATCATGTTGACGAACTCGTCGGGCAGATCGACGCCCTGCAAACGCGACAAAAAGATAAACACGTGAATGATTGGCGCGCCCTGCGGAAGTCTCGCACGCACCTCCTCCACCCAGAAGATCGGGATGAGGGCGTTGGTCATCGTCTTCATGACGGGGATCTTGGCCACCGGGTGGGTGAACATGTTGAACTGCAGCCTCTTGCGCGCGCTCACCGGCGTGGCCGTCATCTGGAACAGCGCCACGCGTCACGGACCGGGAATGCCACCACCCGCAGGGCGAGGCGGCGCGAACTTACCGGCTCGAACACCATATTGATCTCGTGCTTGGCGGGGTCGGGGTTCAGGCCCTTGACCATCATGCGGTAGTCGTCGTGGGTCAGGTACAGGTGTGGCAGCGACGCCACAATGGGGGCACCTGGGAAAAACAGAGGTTTGAAACCCTCACTTGGATGGAAGCAGCCCCGGTAACCAGGACACTCTACCTGCACATTTTGTGATGTCGATCAGTCCCTTCTTCAGACATTTCCCCGGAGCGGGGCAGTAGCACTGCTTGTCCGGGTCAGAGGACATGTCCCCGAAGTCTGCGACATACCTGTTGCCGGGTATGCCCTTGAAAACGACTTCCTTCTCGAACTTGGCAACGATTGATCTGCAAATAAAAATGAATACGGCGAAAAGAAACGGCGGTGCGATGAAACCCGAAGCCACTTGATTCTGAGTACTGTGTTTGTCTTGCAAATAAATCGTGATGGTTAATGACAAAACCAATGGGCTGCTGATAATGCTTTGTGTCTTTCCAATTTTAAATTAAGGCAAAAACATTTTTTTAAATAGAGACAAGTTAGGAATAACTTACAAACACAGGTCTGTTGAGTAGGCAGTGATGCCGTCCTCTGATTTGAGGAAAGGCGGGAAGATGGTGGAGTCCGTTCCGCTGGGCGTGTTGCAAGGGTCTCCGCTCCAAACGTCCAATTTCTCCTTGTCATTCACTTTGACAACTAATCCAACCTCCTGAGGGTCCACGACCCCCCGCTTCACTTCCAGCTTTTGCGTATCGGCAGTTCCATTTTTCTGCATTGAAAAAAAAAAGATGTAACAGCTGCACGACAGAGATACTGCGAGCGAGAAACAGAGTACACCCTGGTTTCACCAACCATTCCGAAGAACGAAAACAAAAATATATCGTCACCGTCGGGTTTCAGTCCAGCCGGATTAGTCCGTATCATGGTGCAGATGGCGGAGGTGGCGAAGTCTTTGGATGTGCAGTTGATGGGGACGCCGTCAAATAGAATATCCCGGGCCCTAGCGGTTAGGAACGGCGTGGTGGGGTTGTTGAAGAGGAACTTGATGCCCTTGGCGAGCAGGCCCAGCGCCCCGGGCTTCTCACGCTCCACAGTGTAGACCATACTCTAGAAATTAACACAAACATTCAGCGTTGCTCCTCTCACAACAATGTAAGCATGCATTTTAGGAAGCTTGGGAACGTTGCAGTCACCAGCATGGCAGCGTGAGGGATGGTGACCATTTCATCCCCCGTGAGGGGGGCGCTGATCGTTTCGTTGAAGATGAAAGTATTCTTCATTCGGAATGACACGGTGTCGTCCTCTGGGTGGTCTTCGATGTTTACTTTCTCCTTCCACTCGCTGAAACAACAAAAACAGCCTCTGAGAGGCCTCGATTCCACTCTACAAAACAAGGCAACGCGTTTACAAAGCCTTACTGATAAAAATACGGGCCGACTTCCGCTACGATGGGCACCGCCCCCTTGGCTGCCTCCTCGGGGTTGGTGACGTTGAACATGTACACGCGGAAATCTATGGCGATGGGGGACTTGGCCCACATGTTTCGCATGTCGTTGGGCTTACGCAGTGCAACACTCTAAATACGCCAAAAAGAATTATTATTACTGCCATTTTTTTAAAAAGAAGAAAAGACAGATTTAGGGCTATTAAAGGCGTTCGGTCGAGCGTCCGGTTACCTTGCCGATTTTCATGTTGACCAGTGCAGGGAAGCCGAACCAGCCGATGACGATGGACAGCACGGCGATGATGATGCCGGCGATCATGATCTTCTTGTAGGTGCCCTTGTTCATCTTGAAGCGCTTCGGGTACTCTCGCAACGTGAATAGAACCTCAGCCCATGCCACATCCAGCCACTGCAACTATAATGTTTATGAGACACTGTTACTCGCCATTGCGCAAAAATAATCAGCCTAATCTCGTGCCCCATTGAAAATCAGAACAAAGTGGAGTCAGAAAGACGAATTCAAACAAGAGTCCTGTTTTGCAAAGCCCAGGCCCCAAACGGCGCTGGTCGAGCTGCCTCGCCGGTGCGTCACGGTCGGATTGCACGCTGACTGCCTATTACCCACGGTGGCGCACGCACACACGCACATACAGCTACCGGTCATGAATCGCTGGTTACGGGACAACGTCATCTTTCAGGCACGCGCGCCGCGGAGCAGCGGCTGTTTTTTCTTCGCGCGGTAGAGAACGAAAGCAAAAGCAAAAGAGGCTAAAGTATGGCGTCTGTGCGGAGGGGCGATCGGTCGAACGATCCCCTCAGTCCCCGCGGAGTGTCACGACGCTAAGGCATTATCCGGTGGTTGCGCTGTCTTCACGTGGCAGTTAAGTCGACCGGAAATCACCGCACTTGAATTATTTACCAACATTCGTCGAACACATCGCTTCTGCATGCAACTGCGGACATGCACCGACCGTCATAAGTGCAGTCTTTCTGGCACCAAATTTCGATAAAAAGGGGAGATATACCCGACAGAGGTCGTCATCGCTTCGAACCAGCCTCACCTTGAGTGCGCCAAACGGCTGTACGGTCAACGGTGCGCCCACCCTCCGTGGATGCACTTTCCACCTGGCAATGGTCGTCGCTTTCTTCGCGCTCGTCGGCTCGGTGCGAGCGCGACGGATGACCCGGTGAATCTGGACGCCGGGCTGTGGGCGCCCTGGTCGCCCTGGGCCCGCCCGGGCCGCGGCCCGCAGGTGGGGACGGGACAGGTGGGGCGGCCTGGTAATTTAGAACAGCTTGGCTGGAGAGTGAGCCACGTCGTCGCAGTTACTCATTCATGGCACCGGCCGCCTTACCGCCTTCTGTTTCTGGACGGCCGAAGAAGCGCCGACTGCCCCGTTCTGTCCTTGTAGGTCACGGTGAGGCCAGGGTCTGGGTCACCCAAAGTCTCCCACGTCGTTTGGCGCCTTTCGACTCGAGTTATTTATTCAATATTTTCAGGCGATTAAAACTGTACTTCAGTCAACCGGACTGAGACCGTGCCATATAGTTGAACCGGAGGTGTGACTGAAGAGAAATCTGTCCCACCGACTATAACTCTTACTCAGGAAATCCGACTCTTGAACCAAGAAATTTTACTGCAAAAGCAAATTCACATTCCAGTAAATAATAACTTGTTGCAAGTACATTATCTTGGCTCAGGACATGGGCTGTTTTGGGTGAACTCCTGAGTTTTTTTGGAAGTCCAACAGCTAAGCGACAAAACAATTTCTGGACTTATCGGGCCGAACTCCGCGGCCACCGCCGTACTGCGCATCGTCCCCCTCATGTTTATTTGACTGTGTGATGCACCTTGCCAGCGGCCGGTGGTGTCCGCCGCCCTCAGTGGGGCTCACATGCCCTCATTGGCCGTCTCGGGGCGAAGGTCAAACGCCGCGCCTTGTGATTGGTCGCTGGGCCGGGCCGGCCGCCCTATCGTGTTGTCCGGTGGCGAGCGCGTCGGCACCTCGGTCCCTGGACGGCCCGCGGGGCGCGGCGGTTTGAAGGACCCGAGGCGCTTCGCATTGCCACCATCCAGCCGATGCACTAATCGATGCGCTTTTCCAGATGTTTCCGTTTTTCCCCTCCCCTTCGGAGGTGAATGATTAACGTGGCCCCCACCGGGGCCCCTTGGGGTCACGAGTAGCAGTGTCACCGAAGGCGTGTCCGACATCGACCTTCGCCTGCACTACGTCTCCACAGATAAATCCTGGTCAGGACGCCGGAATTATTTAGCTTCTTGTCCTCGCGACTTGTGTCGAACTGGAAAAGTTCGGAGTGCGCGTGCCGTGGCGTCGTGGCGTCGCGGCGTCGCGGCGAAGGATACAGGGCGTGCCCGGCATGTGGGAAAAACATCTCGTGCGCAGTGCCACTGTATTACAGGGCAGGGACACGACCTTTCTTTGGGAAGGCCGGCGCAGGAGAGCGCGAGCCGGCGTGAGCAGAGGAGGAATTCGCTGAGCTCCGTTTCTAGTTGAGGCAAATGAATTGAAAGAAATCCAACATTTTCGACAATGGTTGAGGCAAGAATACTCGCATCCTGCTCCGCGAAAGATTGCGCAAGCTTGAGTAATCTTGGCATAAAACTGGAGTGTGGTTATATGCCCTTCTACCTAGCGTACTACTAAGTTGAAGACTCCATGGTTGTATTCGAGCATAGAGTAGAAGCCCTCCCATGCATTTAGATTGGTAGAAGAGAAGCGGAACGGAGCACTATGCATGGAGCCAAGCCAAAGCAAACACTACGCCTTGAAGAAAGTACACTTTTCTGTTGTACCAGTGCTTTTAGACAGGCAGATGCACGCCAGCATGCATGTCCCGTGCTGATGTTTGTTTATTCCCACGACACATGAGGGCAACAGAAAACCACTCCATTTTCGCCATTCCCAACTTTTATTTCAACTTTCGAGAAAGCACAATAATTGGAACTCGGTTTTGTACATATGTGCGTGGCTGCAGGCGCTGCAGGGCAGGCCTTTGGCAATGGCTTCCAAGTAGTGGGTCACGCGTGGCGTACAGTCACGCACAGGAATGCCGAATCGACTGGTTGAGCCGCGCCATGCCGCGTCATTCCACACATGGCATCTGCAGCCTGCGGTGACCTGCAACACACCGGCAATGTCTCACGCCGCGCCAGCACACTCCGTCTCTCTCGCACCCTTGACGGGCTTCCTCACGAGTGTGAAACCGACAGAGCAAGGAGACCGCTCGGGATCAGCGCACACTGTGGGTCAACGCACTGCATTTCAGTGACAAACGCTTTGCTGGCATTGGGGTTGGGAAAGATCAAGGTTTGCAAGGCTGCGCTCGGACTCCTTCGAGGGATTCCGAAAATGTAAGGTTAAAAGTCCCCACGCGGGATGCTTTCAAAAAGGGTGTGACACAGCGAAGAAAGGCCCCCTCGAACCGCGTGCCGGTAAACCGATGGAGAGCGGTGAGGACACCCAGATGGCAGGCTATAAATTCAGGAAAATTCAGTCACACGGGAACATAAAAAAAGTCTTTCCGCGTCTGTCAGTGTTAATCGTGAAATACGGAATCCCACCAAGCAAACGGAGGGCACTGTTACAAAAAATATCCTCTCGCTTGGTGGAAGACCCTCCATGATAACAGGTATGGAGAACGCTTCCGAAATGGCGTTCTGCCGAATTTCTGTGAAGGGATAAAAGAGCTGGCGGGCCTCATTGAAATGTCTAAGAATGTCTCAAGTTTTAGAGCGCACCAGCAGTCCTTGGTTTGAAATGCGGAGTGAAGGTAATGCAATGGAGAACGCGCAATGCACGCTATGCACATCATGCACCCGGGATTCATAAACTTGGCATCAAGCGTAAGAAAAACAAATTCCCCTGCCTGTACACTTACATGTTGTCACCTAGTGCAGGAGGTAGGGCGAGTGGCCCAGCAGGGGCGCGTGTGCCAGGGCGAGGGGCGCGTGCACGGCGAGCGGCGCGTGGTAGGCCAGGGGCGACACCAGGGGGGCGTGGACGGCGTGCACGGGGTGCGCCACCGCCAGCGGCGCGGCGTGCACCAGCGGGGAGGCGGCGATGATGGGCGCGTGGCCCACCGTCAGGGAGAGGCCTCGCTTGTCGCGCAGGGACGCCGCCTCGGCCGCCACCGCCACCAGCACCAGAAACAACTGTGGCACAATGGCAAGTCACTTCGAGGATGCACTGTCACAGTCCTGACAGAAAACAAAACACTTGACGAAAAAGGTGAGACGGAAAATTGAACTTCAAAATCGTGATGATCATGTTCTACACCATTGATTTGCCCTAGGAGAAGCTCTAATATTTTAAAATGGTAAAATTTTAAAAGAAATCTCAAAAAGTCCTCTTGTTTGGCCGAAGAAAGGCACCAGACCCGGACACTCTGGCAGGGGTGATGAGGTGGCGCCAACAACAGGCCAGCCGGTAGGGGCAGGGGCAGGGGCTTATACTTACGAGGACCTTCATGTTGAATGTGTACGCCACAGGGGGATCTGCAGTATCGACGCCTGCCAGACGACACCTGAGCTTATAAACCTCCCTGCCCCTCCAGCCGGCTTCTGCTGGAGCCCTGGACCGTTCGGCTTTGTCTCCAGCCCCTCCAGATTGGTCGCCGGGCCGGGCCGGGCCCCACCACCACAGACTACCCCGTCAGGCGAACCCCACCCTAGGCCTCCCTGGTCCGCGCGGGATGAATCGAAGAACGGTATACACAACTCTTCACTCCCGGAGTCTGCTCGAGAGGGTTCAGGCTCAGGGCGGGGCGGGGCGGGGCGGTGAGGCGCGAGGCACGCCACATTGACGCAATGCTGACGCTCAGGTGACAGCGTGTGGAAGACGCTCTGTCATCACATCTGCTTTTTGCTGCCTTATAATCTCGCGCTCCACCAGACAGACGGGGGGTAAACACAAAAAAGTCGTCAAACGGGACATTTTTACACTTTTGCGACGGTTAACTTTTTAGCGGTATTTTTTCTACATTGTCCATGCAACACAAATGCAAACTAAAAATTTACCAATAGTAAACACTCACTGAACACTCAGTATTAAGAAAACTTGAAGGATTGAAAATCTTAAAACATAGAGGTGTATTCAAATTTACCGAATATTTGCGCCCTTCGGTGTTCGAAGACTCTGAGAAGTGACGTGTGGCCGTTCTTGGCCGTGCGGTGTGGTTGCTGCCGGTGCTGGCGGCAATTAGCACATGCGTTCGTGTGTGATTAAACCGCCCTTTGAGCGGCGCGCGCCGTGCTACCACGCCCGCACCGCCACGCACCGCCACGCCACGACACGCTCCGCGTTATGCCCGAGCCGATGGTGGCAAATGGCACAAGGCGCCCACCAATTAAATCCCCGCGTCACCGGTGGTGCTGGCCACCCCGCCCCACCCTGCCCCGCCCCACCTCACCTGGTTCCAGACGGAGAGACGCTCCCGCGTGTCGCATCCAAGTTTAATTGCACATTTTTATTTCAGCAGAGTGATCAGAAAGGCGAGCGGTGGAGCGGTAATGAACACGATTTAGAGGGGGAGGGTCGCACAGCTTCACTGTGTGTGGTGGGAGGGGGGGGGGGCCTGGCAGGGTTTGTGCGCGTGAAAATTAGAAAATTCCGACGGTCACGCCCGTGGCCACGAGGAATACGGTGATAATGGGAGGTGCAGGGCTCGGGATGGATGCGCCGAGCAGAGGGCGGCAAAATGGAAATCCAAGTTGGGGTAGTGGGTGCCCAGTCGGCCCCTATAGCTGCTGCTTAAATATGGGGGTGTTTATGTTTGCGAGTCCCTGCATCGCTACCATAAAGATGCGTAGCTGCTCTGATCGAATGACAAAAGGAAAGTCATTGTTTTGATGTTTTTTTTTTGTGGGATAAGTACAGCTTTTGGCGCAACCACCCCTTAGACCTCATTGGCACATTGTTTATCGAAGGGGCCAATACGGCTCGCATGTCCGAACGCACACAGCGGTGACGTCACCGGTGACGCCGTATCGCCTGCTGGCACATTTATTGGTCGAGCAAACGGTCGCGAACGGACGCGTGTCTCCGAGTCCCCGGGCGAGTCGGGTCAAGATCGGAACGAAGAAGCACAGTTGGCGTGTCCTTTTATCGACTGGCTGCCTCGGAGCGCGCCGTGCTGCGCCGTGCCGTGCCGCGCCGCGCCACCCGATGGAGCGGAGCGAAACATACCGCACGTCGCGGGGGAATTCGCGCGCAAAAAAGCGCTCCTGTTCTCACCACTCGTAGTGTGGTCGGGAATACAGGGTGCGCGGGTGCACGCAGGGTAGTCAATGTAGGCCGTCGCCGCACTGTCAGCAAATCTATTTCAGTGCTTCACCCCTCTCCCAGCAACGCGCGCGCCACTTCGAAATACCTCGGCGGGGCGCGTGGAGCGGAATGCTGCGTGTCCGCGGCGCGGCGAGCCACTGCATTCCCAAAATGCCCGGACCGAGCTCTGTCGCTACACCGCAAAAGTCAAGGCTGGCTTACGGCGTGCGATTGGCGTGCGCTGCCCGGGACGGCTGCAGTCCTGCAGTCCCTCCCGGCCAGCGCCATCAGTCCCATTCCGAGCGCAGTGCCGCGTCGCTCTGTCTCTCTCGCAGCCCCTCGGGGCGGCCGCGATTGCGAGAGAGACAAAGGCCCCGTTCGGAGTCGTCGGCCAGCCAGCAGTCGCGTGGCGTAGCGCCGCGGCACGCCACGGCATGGCGTCTCAGCGAATCATAATGGATCGAGTGATCTTGACCCCGCTGAATAAGTCGGACGGCTGTTCCAACGGATGGCACGACGACGGTCCGCGTCTCGTGTCGCGTCGCCTCCACGATGGGGGTGAGCTTGAGGGGCTGTGGCGTGGCCGGCCTGCCGCTCGGCCTGCCGCCATGCATCTTGCAGCAAGTCACGACCAGCCAATGGGCCATCATATCACGATCGGCGGACGTCAGCCAGCCCCGCCCCTACCTTCCCCCCCCCCCTCTCGGCCCCGCCTTGGTCAGTAAAATTTGAACCTCGGCCACGTGTGTGACGAAGGGGGACGGCCCCACTGGCGGTGGGCGGACTTCCGCGCGGTTAGTGTGTCATTGGAGAGCCTAAATAATGAGAACGGGCCACAGCAGACTGATATTCCAAGAGTCGTTTTCGTCGCGCTGTCTCCCTCGCACTCGTGAGGCGTTCCCAGAGGGCACGAGAGAGACAGGGCGATGAAGACGACACTCGGAACCAGTCTGCAGGGCCAGGGAAACGCCGGCAACGACTTGTTTAATGTTTCATACAAAAGCCCTCTGCCCCTCCCTCCACCCCTTCCCGCCCCAGGCCCGGTTCCTGCGGACAACCGTCACATTCTCATCAAATCGTTTTGTTTCCGAGTTTAATGGGAGGAGCCCATCAGTTTTCGTTGTTTTCAGCTTGGCAAGCCGATACTCTGTACCGGCATCCAGTTTACTCTCCACCGCCAAGGTTATTGGTGCGGCCAGGCCTTTGGTCTTTCCGATATCGAACCACCGTTTTCTGAATTGTAATTAACGGTGTGCTCTCCGAGGAGCTGGTCGCACCGTGGCCAGGACTCCGGCACACCAATCAGAAACTGTGACGGTGGACGTCCCATACTACTCACAAAAAGGGGGTGGTTGTCTCTTTTGGAGAATGTGTGTGTAACCAACTCAGGAAACGCGTCCAAAGGAATATGATTCCGGTTCCTTTTGTCCCCTCCTTCTATCCGCGGTCCCGTTATTTTGCCTCTCATCCGCGTGATCCTCCTCGGAATGTTGCGATTGTTTTGGTGGACCCCAACAGGAAAAGCGGCGACGGTGAGGGCGAGCTCCGATTCGCCGGGTCAAAAGGGCGCACTTTTGGCAGGAAAGAGTAGCTGTCAAAGGACTGAGGGCTGGAGCAGAAGGCGCAACGCTAAGTGGCGAATAAACAAGGGCCGTGTTCCTGGTGCCTCGCGGCGTCCGAGGGCCCGCAGCCGAATTCCTGCGGAGCTTCAAGGGACCCGGCGTCTCGGCGAGGGAAGGGGGAAAAACAGGAGCAGCACGTGCAAAACGGGCAGTTATTGTCATAAACATTTATTTGTCAAAAATATATTTACACAGGTTGATAACCCGAAGACGCTCTTGACGTTGACGGAATGCTGGTGGAGGGGCCGGCAGTCCGTCACCACAGGCGGCAGCGCGGGCGGTCCGGGTTCATGGCAGTGCCCCTGCTGCAGCCCCATGCGCGCGCGAAGTCCTCCGAGTTGCTCAGCACGCCCCACGTGCGGACGCGGTTCGGTGCGTGCTCGTCCTCCAGGCCCCAGCGCAGGGACTCCTCCGTCCACGACTCGCACCACAGCTGAACCGCCAGGGCCGCCAGCACCGCCAGGACCGCCAGTGAATAGCAAGTAAAGTCAACTCACGGAGTACCGAGCGGAACGGAACGCACCGAAACGCAGCTCGCTTTGGCGGCAAGAAAAGGGTTTTGGTCCCGCCAGCCGTCGGCCTAGCGACGACAACAATCCAGAGCAACAGGCGATCTCTAACCAATTTCAGCAGTTTCGCGGGGTCGGCAAGTAACCTTACTTTCTTTGCAAGTTAGTGTATCTACAGTCAAGGTCAGATATGCGGACTCAGAGAGTTTGGAAATCCCCACACGATTTAAATTGTTGTCTCCACGGTGCAAACAAAACGAAACCTGACTTCTGGCGGCTGCACCTCGCGGCTGGCGCGTCGGCAACCCAACGCACTCCAGCGCGTGCTCGGCAGCCTGTCGGGCCGCCTGCCCAGACTTTGACTCACGTGCACGTAGGACAGGAAGAGCAGCTGCTCGTGGGTGTAGTTGGCCATGCCGGGGAGGCGCGGCTCGGTGAGGCGGTGGCGCTGCAGGTAGCGCCGGTACGCGCGCACCGACTCGTGCAGCCCGCCGTTGTCCGCGATGTTCTCGCCCAGCGTCAGCTCGCCGTCCACCTACGCGAGGGCATAAGCGTTATGGACATGGGCAGAGCGCCGACAGACTCGAAGTAGGTCAGCTTTTCCGCTTTGGGTGGCTTCCAAAGAATTGTTGCCACGAGCAGCTTTGTGCGTGGCGAGGCCCCACAGCATGAACTTTGCCTCCCCTCCGAGGGGGCCTCCCCCGGACTCTCCATGCCTTCTTCCAACTCCAAAGATCCACTGACCGGGTTTGCCTGCGGCTTTCATAGAGCCAGCCTCGGCCGAAGGGGAGGCTGGACCAATCAGCGCCCGTTTGCCGCTTTTCAGCCTAAGTCTTCCGGCGTGTTTACTTTTCGCGGTTTAGCGTCGACCCGTGCCCGACCGGCAAGCCGTTTACTCACGTTCATGTCCACTTCGGGCAGGAAGTAGTCCCCGTACTGCTTCACAAAGCAATCCGTGCGTTTCTCATACTCGGCCACGGTCGCGTTGCTCCACCAGGGCCGCATGTTGCCGTCTCTGTCAAACAGGCGGCCTGCCAACAAAAAGGGGGAATGTCTGAGGGGGCGCCGGGACTCGAACCCCCAGCCCGGGCGAGGCTATCGTTGATGCCGCGATGAAGCCGTGGCGCGAGCACTGAGCTACAGCAACCCCTTGACCCCCCTAGGGCCCCTGAGCGCCGCTAGGCAAGCACCCCACCTGCAGTCCTCCATTAAGGGCATGTGAGCCGGCAAAGCGCCGCGGCCTCTGCAAAGGCTTCAAGGGAGTGTCCTGAGGGAGTGTCCTGGAGGGAGTGTCCTGAAGGCGCAGGCTCAAAGGCGCCGCACTCCATGATGCAGGAGCCAACTACCGGCACGCACCGCGCGTGGCGTCTGATACACCGACCTAACCTGACCCTGCCTGGAAAGGCTGCTGCAGGGATCCCCCTGCCCTTCTCACACACTAAACGCCCTACTGGCGCGAGAGAGACACAACGATGCTCACCGTAGCTGTCGAAGCCGTGCGTCAGCTCGTGCCCCAGTATGCTGCCGATGGCGCCGTAGTTGAGGGCTCTGCAACGGAAAACTGTTGTGACTCGCCTGTGGCGCGACGCCCCGCGACGCCCCGCGACGCCACGCGTCCGGCCGGCATCGGGAATCGAACGGCGCGGCGGTGAAAGAATCATCGGCCGGTTCGACCACGTCACAACGCTAACAGGCGCTAACACTCACTCCAAGCCCAGGTCGTAGAAGGGGAACTGCAGGATTCCCGCGGGGATGGCTGCGAGCAGAGAAATGCAGTCAGACGCGCGGAAAGTGCGAAAACTTGAGGTCCGTAGGAACCACCGCGTCGTACGTACTGACAGAGTTGGCCTGGAAAGTATGGAACGCGTTCACGTCGGTCGGGTCAGTCGCCCACCTGGAAAAGACAAAGGGAGTGTTACGCGACAACTGAAATCCGGGGAGAGCAACAACAAGGACAACTCGCATCGCAGGGGCAGGCGCCGAGGGGTGCACTCGCGTTGCAGTCGGGTCACTTCATCCGCAATAGCGGTGAAGCCAAAATGGACCATTTTATCGAGACAGTGTTGATTTGAGATGGCCTCCTCTCACATCGCATTGTTTTTGAGCCCCTAGAAATCTTGTATCGACCAAGTGATAGTATTATTGGCGTCATAGGCCAGTTTGGCGCGGCGCACAGCTCGGCAGTGGGCCCCCGCGACTCCTCCGCCAAGCCAGAGGCGCACCCGTCGTCGGTGTTGATCCGCCGCAGCACCGACAGGCTGGACTCGGTGACGAGTCGCTGGAAAGACAGCACGTTGCCCAGGTACTCCTGCCTCGTCATGTTGAGCTGGCGGCAAACAGAGGGAAGTCAGCAGGCAGCCTTCCGTTTCCCGCTTCCCGGAAGGTGGTCCGGTTATTTGGCGAGCCCCGCCCAGTGCCCTGCCCACCCCGTGCCCACCCCTTCGTAGTACTCGTCCAACTTGTCCGGCCGCAGCAACCACTCCGGGAAGCCCACAAACGACCTCATGGCGCGGACTTTGCCCAGCGTGGCGGCCTTGGTGGCGGCGTCCATCCAGTTCAGCTCGGCCACCAGGTCCTCGAAGACGCTCTTGACGTCGCCCAGCATCTCCAGCACCTGCGGACCTATCTCGTTACCACCAGTGCTCAGAGGGCCAGAGGACCGGCGCCGGCGGCCTAAACTCTAGACGCGTTTTGAGCTCCAGAATCGCTGAACAGGAGCCGAAACGAACGTCGTGTGACCCCACCATGGATTCCTCGTTCGGAGAGCAATCCATTGGTGGGGTCACGCGTTCGTTTCGAGTCCCAGTGACTCTGTAGCTGAAAACGCGTCCGGGATTCTGACCGCCTCCGCCGGTCTCCTGGCAAATCCACTGGGCAGGGGCGGCGTCGCAGTGGCCGGCCCGCGGTCTCGCCCTCACCGTACCTTCTCCCCGGTCGTCCTGAGGTAAGCAGCGTCCGCCAGATGGTAGCTCACCGCCATGCCCATTAGGCCGTTGACGGCCTCCGTGCAAACGGACTCCCTGCCAGCATCAGGGCAAATAGACATGGCGATGATTAATTATTCAACGGGAACTCCCGTCTGGAGCAGGCTGGCTGGCTGGCAGGCAGGGAGGCCGCCACCCGTAGGGAATGCCACAGGTACTCCACGCGTCAGTCGCGCAGTTTCCTTTGACTGCGGCAGCTACATTCGGCGACGTTGTTTAATCTGCTAGATTATGCCCCAACTACTTCGAGGGATCGCAGCTTATTACTGTGGCTTCACCACACAGTGAAAATTGACAACTGTTCTGTTCCCAGCATGAAATATTCATTGTTGACGATAAATGAGTTGTCATTCGCAAGCGACCTCTTTAATATTACTTCAGCCAGCCCGTTGCCGGTGGCAACGTGGCGTGTGGGAGGTTCCGCGAATAAGGACCAACGCGCACACAGAGAGGACGGTGTGCCTGCTTGGCGGGGGCTCGGTTAGTCTCTCTAAAAACCACCAAAGTGCATTGACAGTGCTGCTGTCAGCAAAAGCCGGAGTGCAGTGTGGGAGAGGAGACGGTGCCATTTTTGCTTCGACGTGCTCGGCGGCTTCGCACCTGGTCGTGGCCCCGGAGGTCCCCGAAGCAATCTCCTGGTACCGCCGCCGGAGCTGCCGCATCTCGGCGGTGGAGTAGGGCGCAAGCAGATCCACCAGCTCCCACCACAGCGACAACTCTAAACAAAAACTGCTTCAGTTCTTTTCCAGTTTTCAAAACGTAGAGCACGCCGACGGTCGGAACGTTCCTCACGTATCGTCTGTCGGGGCGTCTTGGCGAGCAGCTGGGCCAGCTTCTGCATGTACTCGTCGTCCTCCACCACCAGCTTGTCCTTGGTCAGGTCTAAAGTCACGTTTGGCACACTCGCAAACATGGCGGTCAGGAACTCGGTCCAGTTGATCTGCGGCACACCACAGTGGGTCAACACGGCGCGGTGTCTCTGCGCGGCGTCCCTGCCCACGCGGTGCGCCGCACAGTGGGCCAGATGACCGGTGGAGGCGGCCAAAACTCCAGACGCGTTTTGAGCTCCAGAGTCGCTAAGCAGGACTCGAACTGAACGTGTGACCCCACCAATGGATTGCTCTCCGAACGAGGAATCCATTGGTGGGGTGACACGTTCAGTTCGAGTCCTGCTTAGCGACTCTGGAGCTCAAAACGCGTTTGCAGTTTTGGCCGCCTCCACAAGTCTTCTGGCCCACTGTGCGGCGGGGCGGCGAGGCGCCCAGGAGATAGGCCTCCCATCGGCCACCCCCGCGAGCCGCGGTGCCTGTCCGCAGGGGCCGCCACGACCGCCACGCGGCCTCGCATGTGTGCTCGGACTGGGCAAAGCGGGTCGGCACGGCCGATTTGAAAACGGCGGCAAGGCGCGTGGTTTCGCCGCCTTGCAGCAAAGCTAGCAAAGTGCATAGCAGGCTCGCACGCGGCTGTCTGCATCGCGTGGCAGCCAACGTTTGAAAACGAAAGTCAGGCCTAAATTGCCGGTGCTGGACCGTTGGACGCACCTGAGTTGGGACGTCCGGCCCCAGCGTGGCGTGCGTGAAGTTCTGCAGCTCCCACACCCACATCTCCTCGGGGTCCTTGTCGCGGACCTCGGTCTTGTTCTCGGGGAAGGCGAGCTGCGGGAGGGACGACGTCGCCGACGTTAGCACGCTGCTGCCGGTGGACTCCAGTGCTCACCGCGTCGCCTGCTCACCTTGTAGAGCTTCCTGTTGAAGTCCAGCACGCGGCGCGCCGCCCTGGTGACGCGTTCGGGTGGCGGCTCCGCCCTGCGGGTACACGCGAGCGGGGCCAGCAGCGGCGGGGGGCTGCTCGGGCGCTGCTTGTCCGTCTCGTTGGCCTGGTCCAGCACAAACACTGTCTCACTGCTCACGCGGGTAAAATCCCCTCGATGCACCACTGCCGGTAAGGTTGCCACCCCCGTCCTGCCGTCGTCCAAGCTACATTTTCAGCAGCAAAGCTCGGTTGCCTCGTTGTTAGGCTGAGGTTGGCAACCCTTTCGAGAGTGGCGCATCCTGGGAAGGTTTGCCTATGTGTGGCATGGGGCGGCTACACCGAGCCGGAACAGCCTTCGTGCTCACATGCATGAGGACGTTCATGGCCGTGATCATGTAGGACAGGTACGCCTTGAGGTGGCGCTCGTCCCCCTTGTCCGGGTCACCTCCGTCCGGAGTCTGCTCCTGGTCGGGGTCAGACGCCGTGAGGGTCATCTTGGACCGCGCCAAGATACGGTGTCTCCTGTCCTCCACGCGGTGGCCGTGGTACCTGCACAACAAAATCCGACTAAATCACCGAAAAATGAAGGAAATGTCGAAAATTCGACGGAAGTCCAAAAATATTCCCCTTAAAATTTTGAAGTATAGTCTCAAGAAACTAGGGCGGCGTGGAGGCTGAACACTCACCCCAGCAGCGGGGACCCAGACCGGTACTTCCGGACGAGGATCCTGTTGACGGAGCGGTTCTTGACGTCCGGGACCACGTCCAGGTTGACAAGCAGGTCCTTGTTGATGTGCTTCCTGGCGAGGGCGGCCGTGCGTTCCCACACCCACGCAGGGTCGGGCTCCAGGGGCGGCTGGCGAGGCAGGCCCACGGCGTCCAGCGTGGCCAACAGGGGCTCCAGGCCCAGCGCGTCCCATGCGTCTGTACAACGGCAAGGTCTGTGGTTAGAAAGATGAGCCATTACTCCAATCCGCGAGGCAAACCCGGCCCGGCCCGGCCCCGCAAACAGGAAAACGGGCATGTGCTGTCGGGGCTACCTCGGTCCAGGCACGCCTCATACAGAATCCGCGCCTGCCCGACGGCCCAGGGGTCCTCTGCGGTCGAGTTTTGGGACAGGAATTCTGCAAACAAAGGGGACAGGCCATCACCGAATGGGAAATTATTTGTGTACACACAGCTACCTCTACAGATCGCGCAAGCACGTGTTTTTCATACATGTAATCCGTTCCTCATTGTAACAAAAAAGACGTAGAAAACCGAAAAATCAAAAGTGACCTCAATTTTTTATCACACTGAAGTGGTAAGATCGGGAAAACGCGAGTCGATCTGATTTAACGTTCCTGGCAGTGTGGCTCCCCGCAAGCGGATGAGGTACTCCCAGCCCCGGCCAGCCCGAATAAACATGCCAAGGAGCTCAGTGGCTGTGTTCCTGATACACCCCTCATATCGAGCGCCCGCCCCGAGCAGTGCTGAGCACCCGCAAACAGCTTCGACCCCCAATAATGACTCCGCCGCCACTGCTCGCCGAGGAACTCATCCTTGGACGACAGCGAACGTCGAGAGGGGCGCACAGTGGGTCAGAGGACCGGTGGAGTCGGTTGAAAATCCAGACGCTTTTTGAGCTCCAGAGTCGCTAAACAGGACTCGAACCGATTGTGTGACCCCACCAATGGATTCCTCGTTCGGAGAGCAATCCATTGGTGGGGTCACACGTTCGGTTCGAGTGTCATTTAGCGACTCTGGAGCTCAAAATCCTCCGGGATGTTGACCGCCTCCGCCGGTCTTCTGGCCCCTTGCGACGGCCTCACCCTGCACTCCCAGCAGCACGTGCTCCCTGCGGTCGTAGAACCAGTCGTGGCTGAAGGCGGCGGCCGGCGAGGGGTGGTCCTCGCTCCAGCGGCCGCACGTGTACTGGTAGAAGTCGTGGCACGGCGACACGCGCGTGTCCATGGAGCGCAGCAGGCTGGCCGCCGAGCGCACGCACGCCACGGACTGGCAGATGTCACCGTCGTCCCTCTTCATGTCTGCAGCGCAGGCCAAAGTCGCGTCAAAGTCGAGCCAGCGTCCCAGTGGGCCAGACGACCGGTGGGTGGTGAAAATTCCGGACGCGTTTTGAGCTCTAGAGTCGCTATGGGACTCGAACCGAGCGTGTGACGCCACCAAAGGATTGCTCTCTGAACGAGGAATCCAATGAGATGGGGTCACACGTTCGATTCGAGTCCTGCTTGGCGACTCTGGAGCTCAAAACGCGTCTAGAGTTATGGCCGCCTCCACCGGTCTTCTGGCCCACTGTGCGTCGGACTGGCACCAAGGGCCGTCCGAGTCGCAGCAACGGGGCAACAGCCCCGACTTTGTCTCAGGTGCGAAGGCGAACCGTCATCGCCGCCATTTCTCTCAAACAAAACGCGCGGTGTGACAAAAAAAAGCGGGGAAAGAAAAAAGTTCCGCCAAGGCAAGCTTAGCAAAGCGGTCTTGCCGTGGACCGGCCGGGGAGGCCGGGCAGAGAGGGGGCAAGGAGGGAGGGGGTGGCTGTGAGGAGTGGGGACTGGCGCGGCGAGGCGGCGTGGCGGCGCAGGCGACGACGACAGACGACAGACGACAGACGACAGACGAACCACGACCATGCAGTCCCCTCCGAGCGCGCTGAATGGATGGATGGGTGGATGGATGGGATGGGATGAGTGGGATCGTATGCAGAGCTAGAAGCGGTAGCAAGACCGCTTAAAAACTGCTCGTCCTACAGACAAATGGGGCGCTGCTCTTTTTCACACCGCTCACACAAAGCAGGCGGATTCAGCGCTCTCTCGCGCACATGGGGTGGCCCCCGCGGGTGCGAGAGAGACAGCGGAACAATTCGCTGTATACGGCCTGCAGGGGGTGTCACCTCGGCGGACTATTGAACCGCGGCATGGCCCGCTGCGTGACCTTGCCGCCCTGCCCTGCCCTGCCCTGCCACGCGCTTCTTTCGAGTTGTGACGGCCGCGGCGTTCGAAACGTTGCACCCTTTCTGCGAAAGCGGACGACGGTCCCCTCGGAGGCAGCCCGCCAGCGGCGCCAGCGTGGAGGGGTCGATGAGGGAGACTAGATGAATTTGAGCCGTACGTCGGGCGGCCGGGTCGGCCGGGTCGGCCGGGTCAGCCCGGGGGCAGGCGCGCTGAACAAACACACGCACTGCGCGAACACGGCGGGGCGGAGAGCCCCGGAGAGCACATGCTCTTCGCGCAAACACTGCCTCTCGCACACCAAGCAGTGGTGTTACCACGGGCCACCTCGACGCGTGTTATTAAAATGTGGCGGAAGGGCAAATGAAAACAAATTTAACTTTTTTTTTGTACGGGCTCTGCTAAACCGAGGACTGTGCTATTCCAGAACTGTGGAGGTGGCCCGGACGCGTCAAAGGGACCGGAACTGAACGTGTGACCCCATCAATGGATTGCTCTGCGAACGAGGAATCCATAGGTGGGGTCACATGTTCGGTTCGAGTCCCATTAAGCGACTCTGGAGATCAAAACACGCCTAGAATTTGGGCCGCCTCCACAGGTCTTGGCCCACTGTGCGTGCGGCTGGAAGGGCTTCCTGGCTTGGCGGCTCCTCGGCAGGCCAAGGCAGGCCGAGTTGATTCCGGCAAGCCGACGACAAGCCCACGGCAAGCCCTCCACGACCTTCGACTGGCGTTACGGCTTCGCCGCCGCCCCCGCCGTGGCCTTTGAGCCGCGGAGCGCTTCCGAACGTCGCTTTCGGCGCTGTCTCTCTCGCACTCACGGAGCGCTCCGAGAGTGTGCGAGAGAGACAGCGCCGAAATGCGGAATCAGTGTGCTGTCGACGCTGCTTAAAGGGGCGCCGTGCCTCGGCCTGGTCGATGGACGTGACACGGAGTAGAGCGTATGGAGGCCTGGCGGACGGAGGCAAGGGAAGCCATCACCAGCATCGTCACCTTCATCATGATTATCATCATGATCGTTAGAGTCATCCATCATCATCGAGGTCATCATCGGGCAAAGCAGCGCTTTTTGCGAACTCACAGGGGCGAAATATTGCATTTTGTTCACATTTTAGGCGGCTTTCTGGGGGGTCAAGGTTCCTTTGGGTGTCCTTCTCTACCCTCTGGCTCCACGCTGGCTGGTGGGTCACGCGCCTGCAAAGTGCCGCGTCTCGCACCAAGTCGCATTCGGAAACTTGGACAACGCCGAGGCCACTCACAGAAGTACGTGAACACGATGAGGCCGATGAGGATGGCGCCCTCGAACAGGCTGGCAGCCGCCAGCAGGGACAGCACTCGATTTCGCGTCGCCTTCTTGGCCGCAGACCTGCGCAGTGGACCGTGCACGCCGTCAGCCCGCTGATAACGAACCCGGAGGCTGCATACCCTGACTGTACCTCGCCTTGGGAAGCAGCCGCTGGATGCTGGACACACTCCCGGTGGGGCTGGGGGTGGACAGCGCGGCCAGGCTCGGCGTCGCCGTCGCCCACTGCGAGCCCAGGCCGGAGCTAGCGCTGATGAAGACGCCTGCAACAAGGAAGGGAATCTTTTGCATGTACCGCCGGCTGTTTCGGAGACGCTGTGTTAAGCTTCCCCAACGCCCGGTAGTATCACGTCGCTAACTTTGGAGCACCCCGTCCTGCCCCGCCCCGCCTCGCCCCGCCCCGCCCGGCCCGACAGCCCTGCGGTCACCTTACCTCCCGCAACCTGTGGCTCGAGCCCTTGCTTGAGGGGCGGCCCAAGAGGCGGCCCGCTCTCCGGCGCCGGCAGCGGCACCACCTTCCTACCGCCCTGGCCGCCGTGCCGGGCCTGCCGGGCCTGCAGGATGTGGTCTTGGTTGGCCAGGAAGTTGATGCGCAGCTGCTGGCCGCGGGGCGCGGGGCCGACCAGCCTCGGTGCCGGAGGGACGCCGTCGCCGGCCGCCGGCACCCCCGGCAGCAGCACGCCGAGGCCGTCGCCGTTCATGTCGGGCGCGGTGCGTCGCCGGGGTCACGACGCCTGGACGAACAAACGCAACCAAGAAGCTTTAAGGACACCGCTCTTCTTCTGCCAGTGTCGCCGTGCGACTGGCTGAAAGCCCCACCGGCGTTTGAACCAGTTTGCACCCGGCACCGGAACAACAGCACCATGCGTGTCGCCTTGTCGGTGCGCTCGTGGCACGGCCATTGGCACCGCACGGCAGCCCTCCCTACCTCTGCATGCTCTGCATCGAGCGCTGCTGTCGCCCGGGCGCCATCGACATCGTCATCGGGGAGGGCGAGGCCGTCCCTCGGCTCCGCGTTCACGCTCGGCGACACTCTGCAACAAGTGGAGCCAGTACATCAATTGAAAGAGTTTCACCCGGCGAGTCCTCCGAACAGGCTAACAGCGCCCCGCGGATGAGGCATGGCCCCCACGCCCCCACACCCCACGCCCCCACGCCGCCACGCCCCCACGCCCCCACGCCCCACGCGAGCACAACTACTGGCAGTTTGTGTTGGAACTCCATGTTGTGGCAACTGTGTTTTGGTGTTGATATTGCTGGTGGGTGATATTACAGCCCCCTTCACCGCGCTGCTCCGACCACAGCCAAGCCGGGGAAAAGCGCCCCCCGGGACGGCTGCCTGGGTCCGAAGCTTCTGTGCACTACTTTACGTTACGCGGCGGCCCTGGAGGCGGAGTGGGACAAGAGTCCACACAGGAGCCTCAGAATCAAAGTGAAGCGAGTGCCGGAGTTAGAGCGCATCAAGTCGGCGGTGGGGCGGGGGCAGGGACCGAGCCGGCCCAACTCACGCAAAACCTAGTTTCTGCCTTTGGGGTGTCCGGGATGTCCTCAGCGCCGCGGCTCGGGCTTGGGGCCGCGGGCAAAGCATGCAGCACGCAGTGTGGCAGCGCGGCGCACCCCGTGACTGAACCTGCCTGGCACGGGCCGCCCGAGCCGCGGCCGCAGACTGACTCCGCGCGCAGCGTCGGTCTGTTTCTCTCACACTCATGCAACGTCCCGTGCTGGTGCGAGAGAGACAGACCGACGAGCCTGCTGCTGTGGGGGCACGTCGCCTCGCCACCCTTTTAGTTCCTCTGCCGGGGCCAAAGTTCTCGGAAGTGGTGCTTTAATGACCCCAGTGTGGCATCGATTTGCTTTGTTGTTTATGTCCGCGCACCGAGGCCCCCGGCACACCCCGCACGCCACCACTGACGTCACCCTCACTTCCCTTCCGGCCGGGCCGGGCTGGCCCCCGCTTTGCGTGTGTCAAAGTTGACGCGACAACTTGCTTCAAAAATTGAGCAGTGTGTCGTCCAAGAACTTTGAGGGGGCTGTATCATAACGTCGGCACCCATGATGACAGGCGTAACTCGGGCAGCGTGGAGTACTCGCGCGCAGTGGGCCAGAAGACCGGCGCCGGCGGCCAAAACTTCAGACGTGTTTTGAGCTCCTGAGTCTCTAAACAGGGCTCGAACCGACCGTATGACCCCACCAATGGATTCCTCGTTCGGAGAGCAATCCATTGGTGGGGTCACACGTTCGGTTCAAGTCCCATTTAGTGACAAAACGCGTCTAAGATTTTGACGGCTGGTCTTCGGGCCCACTGTGTGGCGTATCTCGCTCTATTGTTCTGAGGTCAAACGAACCGTCTCTCTCTGAGTCGCTTAGGCGCGCGGAGACGTAAGCGACGCACACACTGTACACAGGGCGAATGAGAAGTAGGCCGCTTTGCGCGCTTGGCGCTTTCGAGGAGCGGAGGGCCCATGGGAGGGGAGAGAGGACGTCCATCTACTTCATGCGCCGAAAAATAAATGTATTCCAGACTTCATCTCGGGGAGGGCCCTCGATGCCTCGAAGAGGGCATGCCGTCGATATCTGCGTTCGCCTCCCTTCCCCCTCGACATCCGCTCCCCCCCGCCCCGCCCCGCCCCGCCCCGCCCCGCCCCGCCCCGCCCCGCCCCGCCCCGCCCCGCCCCGCCCCGCCCCGCCCGCCCCGCCCAGGGGAACATCGAGGCCGCCGTCAGGCCCACCCCGCGGCTGGATTCAGAACGGCGCTCCGCCGCTCTGCCTCTCTCGCACCCCCGTGGGGACGCGCCACGAGTGCGAGAGAGACAGGCGTATCGAATGAGGCCGTGCGAGCCCTGACCCTTGAAGGAGCCCCGCGCGTGTCGTTACAACGGCCTGTCCTCGTCGCCAGCCTCATCACATTCATCAACTCCGGACTTATTCATCACGAGTCCCAACACGCTACCCGCACGACACGTGGATTACCGGCCGGCCGGCCGGCGGGGACCCATTCGATATTTCCGAGCGATAAAACAGGAAATAAAGGAGGAGAACGGTGCTGTCCCTCGTCAATACTTCATTAATGGATGAGAAAGACTATAAATGAATGAGAAATACTTCATTAATGAAAAATTACAGTCATTAATAAAGTATTACTGACGAGGAACAGCACCGTTTTCCAACAGTGAGGTGCTGTCGTGTTTTTAAAAGAATACCTGTGTGAGGTAGTCAATGACCAACCTGTGCTCTCTTTGAATCAAGGTAGGTGTCACGCGTGTCAGTGTAAATTTCTAGGGCAGCTGTGCAGTGTCACTCCCTGCAGTTCCCTCGAGTTGCCGCAATGTGCCTTCCAAAACTTAAAATGAAAGCAACGAGCCCTGAAACTGAAACAACGAAAAAGCACGAGAAGCGGTATTCTCTCCCTGAAAAGCCAACCTCACTGCAAGAAATGCGCCGGTATACCGATGGGTGCCGGCTTGCCGCGGCTCGCCACGCTCAGCGCGTTGAGTCCGCTGCCTTTGCTGTGACGGCCGCCTGGATACTGCCGGCCGGGTGGATCGACTGTGTGCGCTATGCCTGGCTGTGCCCGGCCATGCCTGCCTGCCGCGGGGTCGCCCCGGCCGGCCCGCTGTGTTCGGCGCCCCGAAGGCCCCCTCCCCCTCCCCAGCCAGGGCATAGGGCGGATATGGAGTGGCCCAACAAACGTGCAAGCCGCTCTGGGTTGACAGTCGTTGGTGAACACAGCCGGGGGCCAAGAAGAGCCGACACCGTATTGCTCCGCCAACATTCCCTGAATGCAAGTCTCTTCCTCATTCCTGTGAGCCGAGCCGCCGCGCCGGGCGTGCGGGTTTACTTTGGTGACGACGGCCAACATCTCATAATTAATTTCTCATCCTGGAGCGACGTTTCGCTTGCGAACGCGCGTGGATCGCAGGGGGTGGGCAGCCACGCCACCACTCGTCGCTCTCAAACGTAAATACGCGGAGAATTCGATTTTCCATCGGCGCAAATGTACACGTGTGTATACATAGATGCCAATGTGTGTGAGTTTGTGCGTGAGTGTGTGTGTGCGTTGACCTGCGTTACAGGGCGCTCGGTTGCCGAGGCTCCGCGGGGTCGCTGACTCTTGTTTGAAACGAAACACTTCGATCGACCCACTTTGCGCCGCGCGGTCGGGACGGGGACAAACTGGCTCATCAGTAGTCGCTTTGTGAATACACAGCGCTGGAATCCAGGGGCAAAAAAGGCCTTCGCCAGTATCGGGACCTCTGTGCGCTGCGGCCAACGCTAGGCACGCACTGGCACTATGTGAGCAGGGTCTGGCGTTGCTGGGACTTGGAGGCGGCTTTCCAGCGCGCTCCGGGCAGGACTTGACGGTGTGACAGGTGACGTGACAAAAGCTCATCCTCCGCCCGCGAGGCGGCAGAGGCCGCACCCACTTCTAAAGTTATGAGGCAGCTGCTATTTCACAACTTTGTTCGAGCGAGGCGTGAGTAAGCCTTGGCAGGGCTGCTTCCGATCAGAGCGGCGGGATTACTTCGGTACTCTTGTGTGGAAAATAAAACGACGGCGAGGCTTTGGGATGTGTGTATTCTGAAGAGGAACATTTTTTGTACCGTGTGGCTGGTGCGGTGAGCTGGGGGGTGGATGATGACGGGGGCGACTTATGACCTGCACACAAACAAAGGCAATGAGTGCGTCACGAATTCCGTTTTGAGTGGTGGTTGCTGGTGGCACGGGGCGGGCCCGCCCGGATAAATTGACTGCAGGCGGTGTGCCGCCCCGGGTCTGTGGGCGAGACAATGTTTGCGCGGAGGGCACACAGTCCGTACCTATTCTAGTGCTCGATGCTGCCGTGGCCGCCGAGGCCGTATGAACCTAGGCCTCCTAGCCCGCTGAGCCCGGCGACGGTGAGGTCCGTGCCGCCATGGCCGTAGCCCAGGCCGTAGCCCAGGCCGTGGCCGTAGTGGGCCGAGACGGGGACGACGGTCTTGGCGACGTAGGGCACGTGGACCTCCTTGGCGACGTAGGGGACGTGGTACGGCACCGGGACGGGCCTGGCCACCGGCACGGGCACCGGGTGCGAGACGGGCACGGGCACGGGGTGCGGGACGTGAACGGGGACGGGGTGGGGCACCGCCACGGGGTAGGGCTTGTCCACGGGCACGGCGTAGGGTCGGTCCACGTGCACGGGGTAGGGCTTGGGCACGGGCACGGCGTACGGCCTGTCCACCGGCACCGGGTAGGGTGCGGGCACGGGCACGGGCGTGTGCTTGATGACGGGCACGGGCACGGGGTGCGGCACGGGCACGGCCACCTGTCACAAAAATAGTTAAGCATTGAAAAAAAATACTGGTATGTTATTTTGAGTTAACCTTGAGTCACAGTGCCTGTTTGGTGATGACAGTGTGGATGGAGGTGGTGATGGGGTGGCCGAGGCCGTGGCCGGCAATGAGAGGCGCGCCGTGTCCGGCGAGGGCGACGTCGCCGAGGCCGTGGCCGCCCAGCCCGATGGGGCCGATGTCGTGGCCGATGTCGTGGCCGACGGCGGGCAGGGCGAGGGCCGAGCCGACGCCGAGGCCCCCCAGGGCGCCGTACGTGCCGATGCCGGACAGGCCCCGCTTCTCAGTCTTCTTGGGTTTGTCGTCGGCCGAGGCCGTGGCCGCCACCACCAGCAGCATCACCACCTGCAAAACAACCTCGAATGGCTCTAGCGCCTGCGGAACCCCGGGTAGGCAACCCGCCAGCCACAGATGCGCGTTTTGCCTACCGCCCATTACCATTGCCATTAAGGGCTAGGCGCTCTACCGAGACCTGATTTTTGTTCCTGCCCAGTTGGCGAGCAGGACGGGCGGCAGGACCGGGACCAGGACCGCCCCGAACCCGCAGCAGCAGCCTGCGCCTCGCCGCCCGGCGTCGTCTTGCGTCGCCTTGCGTAACATGTCTCGTTACGGGCATTCTCCGCTCGAAACATGCTTTTCGTAACGCCCCAGGTCACACACACACACACACACACACCTGCCTCACACACTCACACACCGTCGCACGTAAGCCCAGAACAAAGTGGTGTGTCGGGGTGGTTTCGGCGGTCCTTCTAATGACGGCCGGAGTGCAGGCCGATGATGATTGCGAGCGGACGCTCCAGACTCATTCCGAGAGTCGTTTTCGTCCTTCTGTCTCTCTCCCACCTGTACGGAACGCGCCATGAATGTGAGAGAGAGAGAGACGGAGGGACGAGAACGACCCTCGGAATCAGCCTGCAGGGCTGCTGGCAGGGAACAGGGAACCCGAGCCGGGCAAGGCGAAGAGTCAATTATTTTGCAACGGGTCGAACGGACGCGGCGGACGAGCGGAGAGCATGAGGGCACTCCGGACACTCGGCGGGGCTGCACGATGGCTGCCCTTGCCCTCACGGCGTGCACCGTAAGGGTGCGAGTGAGACAGAGAGCAGTCCCCGGGGCATGCTGGGTAGTCTGGGCAAGCAATGAGGCCGGTATAATGTAATGAGTGGAGTAAATACTACCCCCCCCCCCCCCATACGCCAAGGGCTGCCCCAAGGGCTGCGGCTACACATGTGTACAGATGGAAACATCACACTCATATTCACAGCCAGAAAGTTTTTTCTCCGCGAACGCACTGGGAAATCCGATGCCAAAAAAACCTTTTTTGAAGGACCCTTCTAACTGAATGAAATTTTGGTAAAGCCATCTTTGTATGGCAGAAATGCCGCGCGCGTTGTATTGGCGAGTGGTCGAGCCGCAGGCTTTCGCCGCCGAGCGGCGGGTCGACCACGGCGAGGACGAGGTGGCCGAGCAGAAGGTGGACGCGCTGCTCCCCGGAGGCCATCTGGAGGCGCTGGAGCGGACTGGAGTAAGCCTTTCTCCAGAGCCGCCCGGTGCAGCCCGCTGCAACCCGCTGCAGCTCGCTGCATAACAAGTTTCGCGAAAAGAGATTCACTTTCAGGCTCTCTGGCTGGACGAGCCCGTTACGCCCTGCCCTGCCCTGGCTTGCCCAGCTGACTAGGCTCCGCGAGGCTCCGGCTTAAAAGAGCAGCACAAGAGAGGTTAAGTTGAAACTCCCGCCCGACGAGACGGTAAAGTTTGCGTCACTTCAAATCATTTTCGTCTCCGTCCTGCAATCCTTTTCAGTGCAACCGGTTGACCTTGACCTTCGCGCACTTCACCTTGCACCTCCTACTTGCACCCAAACGACGACACTCGAAAATTCAAACCGATTTCACGGTTGAAAACTCACCAGTAGTCTCATTTTGTTGCTGGTTATGGAGACCGCTTACCCCGGACAACTGAACAGTTGGACACCATTGCTGGCGGTATATACCACCCATCCCCACCGCTACCCCCTCCAGCGCCGAGCGCCTAGAAAGCATTTGCAACTTTTGAACTTGTTAACGGCCACGTCATCTCGCTCGGACCGTCTGCATTGTTCTCCTTCTTTCAGCAACCTCAACCAATAATTGATTCAAGCTGTGTGTGTGTGTGTGTGTGTGTGTTGTGTGTGTGTGTGTGTTGGTGTGTGTCAGTGTGTGACTCGCTTCGCGGAGAGCGCCCCTAACGAGAGTCTCGAGATGAGGAGAGCCGTGAGGGGAAAGAGGGGGCTGTGACACACACACACACACACACACACACACACACACACACACACACACACCTACACACACCTACACTCACACACGCACACTCACGCGGGCGACCTTGCTTGCGATTGGCTCGTTGTCAGAATTAAAACGAGCCGATTGGCTGACACCAAACGCATCGGGGCGAGTGGCACGCCGCGCCTGACACATGCGACATTACGCATGATCGGCACGCAACGGCGGCCAGAGGCAGCCAGAGGCAGGCCGTCATACAAGGAGCAGATTGTGTCGCTGGCTGCGCAGCCGCCGAGTCTGGCGTGGCTGGCAAGCCCGGCCGGCCGCTGCACTGCACTGCGGAGAGACCGGGACGACAAAGAGGCCACTGTGGCCTCACTGGCGACCGGCCGGGCCGCCCGCCGCCATGCCGCCGCCGCTCCCAGTGCAGCAACGCACGAGCTGCGAGCGCAACCTCACCTACAGTGGCGGCGCGTCGGGCCGCCGCGTCCCTTGGAGTCGCACCGCGGGGCGTGGACCGGGCCGGGGAAGACGTCGCTACACTGCCAGCGATGACGACGGGCCGGGGAAAACAGTGGCCTGTCCAGAGCCATCTGAGTGGGAGGCCAAGGGGGAAAACTAGCTTTTGCGTACAGTGATGGATCCAGAGGAAAGGGGCATTGGTTCTTTAGACCCTTCCTTAAAACCCGTCCTTGGCGGGAACCCACTCAGCAGCCAGGTCTCGGACGTCTCTGATCACGCTGAAAAATGAAAAATTCAAATCAAACGAAGAGTTACTTTATTTTACGAGCTGCTGTGTTTAAATGACTGAATACCGGAACGGTACGGAAACAGAGTTGGCCGCACGGGAAACTCGTGGAAGACACGTTCGGCGAATTCAGAGAGAAAAGAAACGACGCCAATCATGGCGCTCTTGGATCCAACTTTCCGCGACCGTTCTAGGTCGTCGAAAAATCCAGGGGTGGACAATTATTTCACGGTGGGATTTTCCATCGCCCTGGACTTGTATGGGAAATTCCGTCGCTGGGGCGTTCTGCCAGGGTCTGATACTGACCACTGACCCAGAGCCGGTGCGCGCGCGGGAAGTAGTTAAAACGGTCCTCGGCTGCGCCGCACCCCGCCGTGCGTTGGACGGAGATGGAAAGTGAGAGGACCGGATGGCGCCGAGGTGGGCCAGCACCGGCAGCGCACTGCTAGGCCGCCGAGGGTAGGCCAGTACAGCCCGCCATTAACGTGACCCCTCCCCCCCCCCCGGCCGCCTTGGCCGGGCGCCACGCAGACTGAACGTCACTCTCGTGTCTCTCTCGCACTCACGGCGCACTTCGGCCGGGTGCGAGAGAGACGGAGATACGGGCCGAGGCGCCAAACCGATAACGAGGCGGTGCAGCGATACTGGAGGGCTGGAATGCCACCTATCGTGTTTCGATGAGATTAATGGATTGTATTAATAATATCGGCGGAGCGAGCCTCACTGGCGAAAAAAGAGTGCGATGATGGAATGCCGCGAGGGATTGTCATTCTTTGCCTCAGGCTCATCACGTCCACCACCATGTTCCGGAAATTGAGACCCGAAACAATTCGTCGGGACCGAGGTCGGGACGCACAGCACACAGTTCTGATCATGCTAGCACTGGATATTTTTTTTTTCACCGAGGTATAACTGCAAGGGAGTCAGGCTGGTGTTCTGTCGCCAGATCAATGTGTTTCCTGTCCACTGCCATCGCCTTCCGTCCGGCTTCCCCCTCCCCTCCCGTCGCCCACGCCTTTTTCTGCTGCGAGGCCGCGGCACAGTAATTGGGTCGTGGCAATGTCGAGTCGGTGCGTGAGGCTCATACCGACTGCAACCCCTGGACTCGTCCTTCGCGTCCCGTTTCCGCACTCAGTCCCTCCCACCGCGCCGCCCTTCCCGACCGCAGTGGCTTTGTTTGTCTTCAATCCTCCTTCCTCTATCAATATTTTCGCTTGAGCGGAAAAACTCAAGCGACGTGTCCGAGCCAACGAGCCAGAGGGAGAGAGCAGAGGGAGCAGAAAGGAATCATCGCGAATCATCTTCCGTTTTAGGTCAATCGGACCGACCATTTTACATTTTCAAGATAAAAATGAAATGGAGACGTGACAGTGTATGCGAAATATAATCCAGTTCGCTCTCCAGCTTTTTTTTTCGTTTTCGGTGGAGTCGCGCTTGTTGCTTCACGATCCGCCAATGGTCACGAAGTGCGACCCGGCGTCGTTGCCCGATTCAATTGCTTCAGCTTCCTACTCGATTTCAGTTGAGCTTGCTTCTCTTTTTTTTCGTTTCGTTTGGTTGGAGCCAAGCCGAGAACTAGTCCCCGATGTGGGGCGCCTTCCACGAGGGTGGAATCGGTTGTGGTGGGGCCGGTGGGGCTGGTGGGGCTCGGGGCGGGATGGGGTGGCGTCGTATAAAAGCCGCGTCGACGGCGTGTCCTTCGCAGAGCCATCCGCGCTGCCAGCGAGTCCTTGAGCCGACACCATGACACATCAGGCAAGTCTCGTGTGGTTCGCACTAGTCCTGTGACGAGCCAACGATAATTACAAAAAAAGAAGCACGTACTAGTCGCTTAACAATTAACGCGAAAATAATGACCGCACAACGCTTTGATCGCTCTATTTCTAATCCAGCCGCGACGCCGATTGGGCTGCTGGTGACAAAGTAGAGGAAATAATGATGCTGAAAGTAATGGCGATGCTGCGGTAGCTGCGCGCAAGGCCGCTCTGCCCTCGGCTCTGCCGCGCTGCGCAACGCTCCGGATTCCCGGTTTGATGTGTCGCGCGGCTTCGCGGCTTCGGGAGAAGAGTAGCACTGCTACGCGCTGCGCACGCCGGTCGGCCGCTAACGAATTACGTCAGGTTTACGCGAGCGGTCCATGCCGCCGGCCCGGCCGCGGCCCGGCCCATGCTTGCTGTCACCGCCACAGATGGCATTCCCGGAGCACGGCAAGCACGGCAGGCACGGCAGGATGTGATAGGGACGCGGCCTCCCCTCCGGAGTTATGCCCTCGACGAGGGCAAAGCCGGCAAAGCGAGGCGAAAGGAAAGGGGCCACAGACCGCCGCCGTCTCCGCCAGCGCCTGCCTGCAAAAGTGATCTGAAAAACGGTGTGTTCCAGGTTGTGCTCGGATGCGTGCTCCTCGCCCTACTTGGCGTGGGGGAGGTGGTCGCCGACGCCGGGTCCAAGGCGAAGCGGGGACTGCCGGCAGCCGGCCTCGGGTCCGGGATCGGCCTCGGGTCCGGCGCCGTCCTCTCTTCGGGCCTCGGACATGGGGCGGTGCTGTCGTCGGGCCTCGGCCACGGCGCGCTGCTGTCTTCGGGCTACGGCCTCAGCGGTAGTCTCGCAGGGGGACTCGTCTCCGGAGGCCTCCTATCCAGTACCGGCCTCGACGGAGGCCTCATATCCAGCGCTGGCCTCGGCTCTGGCGGTATCGGCCTGCTCTCAGGCGGCCTGGTGTCCGGGGCCTTGGCGGCACCCACCCGCACCGTGTCCACCGTGAACCAAGTGGTACCGTACGCCGTCGCGCAGCCCTACGCCGTGACCGTGAACCGCCCGGTGCCGGTCAGCGTCCCGCAGCCCGTGCCCGTGGACGTCCCGCGCGCGGTGCCCGTCCCCGTGCCGCAGCCTGTCCCCGTGGAGGTGCCCAGGCCTGTCCCGGTGGACGTCCCGCGCGCCGTGCCCGTCCCCGTGCCCAGGCCCGTCGCGGTGCCCGTGGCGCAGCAGGTCCCCGTCCCCGTGGCGCACCACGTGCCCTACGAGGTGCAGCAGCCCGTGGCCGTGCCCGTGCCCCACCCCGTGGCCGTGGCCGTGCAGAGGCCCGTCCTGGTCGCGCAGCAGCACGCCGTCGCCGTGCAGCCCGCCGCCATCTCAGCGCTGTCCCCCTCCGTCATCGGCCACGGGGGCCTCCTGGGCGGCGTGGGCGTCATCGGCCATGGCGGCCTCCTCGGGCACGGCAGCGTCATCGGCCACGGGGCCCTCCTCTCGCACGGCGCAGTCCTGGGGGGCGTCCGCACGGCGTACGGCTCAGGCTACGCCAGCAGCCACAGCTCCAACTACATCGAGCACCACTAGGCGCTTCCACCCACCATGCGAGCCCCGAACTCCTTCTAGTCACTGAGTGAGACCCTGCCCTTACACATTTTTGAAATAAAACTAGGAAAAAAATCGATGTGTTCATTAACATTATTTTTGGGAAATACAACAGCAGTGCCCCGCCATCTGCACTGATTTTACCTGAAATTAATGTACATCATTATAGCCATTTTATCGGTGATGTGAAATCGAAGAATGAATAGATCAACCATGGAAAGGTCGATTTGCGTGTTAGCGTCATGGATGAACGTGGGTGCTGTGCATTGTTGACCTCACTGCCTCTGGAGCCCTAGAGGCTCTATGGGTTCGAAGCACTGGTTCGGCCCCCCAAGCGCCTGTGAGCCAGGCAACACTTTCTACTTGCTAGTAACGGTGTGACTGCGCGGCTGTGGTGCCGAGGGTACTCGAGAATGTGTCAGCGTTTGCGAGACACGGAAACTGAAAACAACAGAGCCAGAAAGATTTTTAACGTCACCATTTATTTACATACAATCCCTTTATGAACGTTCTTACGGGAAGATCACATTACAATGTTTGATTCTTTCATCGTGTTTCTTCTTTAAAAGTGACGTGAATCACAGCGATGAGACCAAATTCTTTGGTACATACGCGCTGTCCGGGTGAAGAGAGGATCGGCCATCGAACTGGCGTGAACTGGTGACAAATCAGCGGAGGGCATGATGACGTGAGCCCGACTTGTTGAAAGACTAGAAAACTTCATCTCTTCCCTGCAGCAACTTAGTGGCCGTAGGACAGCACCTTGCTCGCCCCGAGGGAGACTCCGTGGCCGCCGACGAGGAGGCCGCTGTCGCCGAGGCCGTAGCCGCCGAGCCCGGACGATCCAATAGCGATGCTGGAGCCGAGGCCGGAGTGAAGTCCGAGGCCAGAGGAGCCAATGGAAATGCCGGAGCCGAGGTCGTAGGAACCGACATCGAGGCCAGAGCCCAGGCCGATGCTGGAGCTGCTGACGGCGACGGTGGGCTGCGCGACGGCGACGGCGGGCTGCGCGACGGCGACGGTGGGGACATGGCGAACGGCGGCCAGGGGTTGCGGCACGGCGACGGGGTAGGGCTGCGGCACGGACACGGGGTAGGGCTGAGGCACGCTCACCTGCACGGGCTGGGGCACCCTGACGTACACGGGCTGAGGCACGGACACGGGCACGGCGCGCGGGACGGCCACGGGCACGGCGCGGGGGACGTCCACGCGAACGGCCTGGGGCACGGCGACGGGCACCGCGCGGGGCACGGCCACGGGGTAGGGCTGGGGCACGGCCACGGGCACGGCGCGGTTGATGACCACGGGGTAGGGCTGCGGGACGGACACCGGCACGCGCCGGATCACGGTGCTGACGGTGTGCGGCACGGCCTGCTGCACCTGCTGCACGGCCACGGGGGCGGCCGCGACGACGCCGAGGCTAGGAGACGCCAGGCCGATGGAGCCGCCGCCGAGGCCGTAGCCCGAAGAGGCCAGCCCGATGGAGCCGCCGCCGAGGCCGTATCCCGAAGAAGCCAGCCCGATGGAGCCGCCGCCGAGGCCGTAGCCGAGGCCGTGGTCCAGGCCACGCTTCTCCTTCACGGCGGGGACATCCGCGGACAGTGCAGTTGCCACGCACAGGGAAACGAGTACCTGCGCAAAAACACATCAGTCAGTTAGTAGGTATCCGCGCGCTGCTCTTGGAAGGCCACATCCTTCATGCCATCGCCGCTTTTTCTGCTCCACCGCATTATTCCACCGGGTCGGCTACTCACCGCGTACACCTTCATGCTGACACGAGTACGACACACTGAGACTGCGGGCAGCAATGACCGGTGCTCTTATATACGGCCATATCGGTGGTCGTCGGTGCCCCCGGAGCACGACCTCGACGAGCAGTAAGTTGCAGCTGCCGCGACGTCGCGGTGGTCGCGGTGTCGCGATGCCGTGAGGGTGAGACCGGCCGGTGGGGCCGCGTGCTTCCCACACCTCTTTCCGGTGACGACGCTGGCATCCCAATCACGACAACCTGCAACATCCGTCGCTCTGTCCTTCTCGCACTCAGAGGGCGTTCCGTTTAGGTACGAGAGAGACGGGGGATCGGTCTGCCGGCTCGGCTAGCAGCGTGCACCCGGCAGTCCGGACAGTCAGGGGCATCCTTGACGCGCGCGTCGCGTGGAAGCCCGTCACAGGCCACTGTCTAGGGTTGCCAGCCGTCGCGGGGTGCTGTCTAGGGTTGCCAGCCGTCCCACTGCGAAATTATTTGGTGCGACGATGCGCGGCCCTGGCGTCGCCTCGCCTTCCTCGCCCAGGACTCGCCGACCCGGCGCGCCCCGCAGTGTAGGAGCCAGCGCGCCGAAAACACGAAGGAAGCGGCCCAGTTTCAAAGGGTGTCACCGTCACCCCTCCCCCCTCTTCCCGACGCCCAATCTTTGCCGCGTCTCCCACGCGGACACTTTGCTTCCGCTTAGACGGCACCCGGAGGACGCGTCGCGTTTTGTCGCGGCCCGTGTTACACTATACACGTTAGCGGAACAAGCAGGCCACTGCAAGTCCCGGGACCAGCAGGACACCTACAGCGCCCTGCCTGAGTTTTTCACTGCTAAAAAATACGATTTCAAGAAATCCTAGGAGTCACGAAGTCAATTTGATTATTGTGTAAGAGTGTGGAGAAAGAAAAGAAGTGGTGTTGTGAAGTTGTGGCTCAGGGGACTACCAATGGCAGTGGTACCAATGTGGTCGATGTGCCACCCGTCGAAATATTAACTTGACAAAATAAAAATCAAAATGCTGGTAAATTCAAAAAAATTCCAATGCTAATGTATTCCACAGTGTTCTGACAATGGAACATCTTTAAAGTCCATCATTATTAAAATGTTCTTGGCAGAAAGAAGGCAGTAAATTAATTTTCACGGGTTGGCAACTAGTTTCTCGGCGTCTGCGCCCTTGCGAAAATCGCGAAGCTGAAAGCACCAGCAGTCGCGCATTAAAACTGCCCATCCATTGTTGCTGACGTTGAATTGTTTGGCTTGTTTCAAAAGGCTATGGTTCTCTAGTCATGTTTTCTTCAATTCTGTGTAATAGTTCTCCCTTACAACGTATCAACACCACGACGGTTGGTTTGACAAACTTCATAAACTCGGGAGGGATGGTTTCGAAACGCGGGTGAGTCTTGTTCGAGGAACATGAGCACAGCAAGTCGCGAGGTGGAGCGAAGTGGTCCTAGTGCTAACTAAATCACAACAACAACAAAATTGTTTTATTGACCAAAAAAAAGGAATATTTGAGAAACTGTATGCCAGAAAAAAAGAACTTTTGTTTTGCTAATTTTCTGTGAATATTTTTTTAGAAAGTCATTACACAAAAATTGAAAGTTTGTTTTATATGAATTTTCATAAGCAGGAAACAAAGAAAAAACAAGAAACAGAGCATAATTAATACAGGTTTTAAATGCTACAGTTGGTTAAACTGTTAACAGGTTGCAAACCTACTGCGCATGTCCAAAAACACTCCAATCAAGAAGTATTATTGGATAGTTCTACCCGAAAAACTGCGTTCGAACCGACACCAATTCTATTGTTGCATCTTGTCTACCTGCAGTCAAAGAAATTTTTCATTTCGAACGTGCTGATTTCAGCTTTTGGAGTAAGCTGTACAGACCCAAAAAGAAGCTCGGCTATTGGTCCGCCCCGGCTCGGCTCCCCCCACTCCCTTTTTTTTCCTTTGACGAGTCGAGTTTTGCCATGGAAACGGCGATTTTGACAGCAAATTTCTCAAAATTGGCCACCAACTTTTTAACCAGATTTCAGCATGAGAATCAGCGTTCAAAGTTCTACAAGTCTGCAAAGTCTCATTAAAATCGTATAGAAAATTTCCGAAATGCATAAAGGGCCATACAAATTGAATCTCGGGCCGGCTGAATCCTGGGTATACTATAAGGCTACTTCGTGCCTAAAAAGAAAACTGAGTGAGATGATTCTTTTTCTATCACTGTGTTAAGAAATTAGAGAAGTACATTCCGTTTGAAACGATGGTCGAAGGGTGAAGGATGACGGTGAAGAAGTAGAGAGCTCAGTGAGCCAGAGCCAGAAGACCGGGGAGGCGGTGAAAATCCCGGACGCGTTTTGAGCTCAGAGTCGCTAAATGGGACTCGAACCGACCGTGTGACCCCACCAATGGATTCCTCGTTTGGAGAGCAATCCATTGGTGGGGTCACACGTCTGGTTCGAGCGACTCTGAAGCTCAAAACACGCCTGGCGTTTTTTCAGCCGCTGGCGCCGGTCTTCTGGTCCACTGTGGAGGGGCGTGCGTCGACCATGACCTCGAGGAAGAGAAGAGGCTCCAGCGTCTCGCGGGCCGAACCACGACGTGGTCCACGCCCGTCCCGGCGGGGTCAGTGTCCGACCTTTACCTTGCGTGGGGCGGGGCGTGGCGTGGCGGGGCGGGTGCGGCCCCAACGCACGGCGCGCCGCACTGCTGTCCCGGTGGCCTGCAAGATGACTTCATCGACCGGTACCCGCCGGCCGCTCCAGCTGGAATAATAAAACTTTCTACTGGCTGCCTCCTGATCCCACGCTCCGATTTGTCTCTCTGTCGCTCCGTCTCTCTCTCTCTCTCTCTCTCTCTCTCTCTCTCTCTCTCTCTCTCTCTCTCTCTCTCTCTCTCTCTCTCTCTCTCTCTCTCTCTCTCTCTCTCTCTCTCTCCGGGCTCACAGCGTGGCACAGTCAGCGCGCAGCTGTCTCTCTTCTTTTGTCTTATCCCCGGATCCGCGAAAAAGCACAAAACGAGAGGTAGAAGGTGAAAAATGACAAACAAGCTCAGTTTGCAGGGTTTGCAGGCTGCAGGAGAGAGGCCGCCGCGTCCCCCAGGCGCCCCTCACTTTGGCTGCCGATCCCGGAGGGGCTTCTGCAGCCCATTTCAACGGACGGCGCATTTCCGTACATTATACAGTCAGAGTGAGTCGCAGCGAAGCACGTCGAAAGCACAGCGCAGCACAGCGCAGCACAGCGGGGCGAAGGTTTTCGCGTCGCATTCGACATTGTACAGTCGGCCGAGACCTGCCACCCGGGTGGCACTGTTGCCGCTCCTTGCTGCATGAAGAACGGGCGGGGGAAGTTTCTGCGAAATAACTTCTTCACGAGGCAGAGGAACCGCGATATGCGTCGGGATGAGAAATCACGCGATCATGACCGTTTTGCTCGCTCACGATCAGGCCCACCACTGGCGCGTACCCGCACTGAAAATCAGACCTTTCAAACTCCACAAAGATGAGGTCAACGTGAGTGGTCGTGCGTGGTCACCCCACTGTGCATTGGTCGGACAAAAAGAGGTCGTACAAACGATGTGGACCCTGGTTTTCCGTCTCCTCCCAGTGCAGTGTCGACGTCGGTCGAGTCGGAAAGCTTTCGCGTCGCAGAGTGCAGCGATCCGTGGCCCCAGGACCAGGCACTGATCTGGGCGGGGGTGGGCCCACCCTCGGCCGCGCTGCCACCTGAGAAACCAGACAATGCTACACGGCTGGGAGGCGCGCGGCCCCGTCCTCGACCAAGCGACTGTTTCACTTCGATTTCCCCGAAGAGTCCCATTTTCGTCACGAGCGGGAATGATGGCGGGCAAAACGCAGCCGTGGGACCGCGGGCAGGTGCCTCCTGCCCCTGCAAGGCCCTGCAAGGCCCTGCAAGGCCCTCGGCAGGGCATGCAGTGGCTGTTTGCGAAGTACGAAACGGAACAGGCCCGCGGCATGCACGCCACGCACCGCCCTCTTGTATCGGTGTCGCGATCGCCTGTCACGGCCTCCCTTCCCTTCGCTCCCTCGCATTATGCAAGGGAAAAGAAAGGAGTCAAATTCGGGGCAGTGTGTGCGTGTGGAGGGGAGCAACAGAGAGAGGTGAAGGAAGTAGAGTAGACCCCTCCCCTGGCCGAATATGTCGACCGCCTGCAGGGGCGGGGCGGGGCGGGGCGGGGCGGGCGTCCGGCGTGCCGCACCCTACCGCCCCTTCTACTCCACCGGACCTGCTTTCTGGTCACTTTTTCGCGAGCCGGACCCGGCCCGGCCCGGGCCCCGTATATAAGCCGGGGGCGCCCGGTGAAGCGGCATCAGTCGTCTGCATTCATCCTTCGTTGGTCCTTCAGCCCAACCCCAAGCCAGAATGAGGGGATTCGTGGTAAGTAGGACGCAAAGGACGCACACACGAAGCGCAGGCCGCCTCGCAGGCCGCCGCGCAGGGGCTCCATTTCGCCTTCCGCCTTCAAAGAGCCACTTCCAGCTTCTTGGAAAGCAGCCCTCAACCGAAATTTAATTCGATCGACTTAGCGGCACGGCGGCGCTGTTTGTTCAGCCGCGGGCTTCGTCTTCACCGCCTTCTTTGTGGGGCCAGCATTTGCTAATGAGAGCTCAGCCTCCCCATGTCGCCGTCCCGCGCGTTTCAGGCGGCAAGGGAAAAGGGGGGGGGGTTTCTTTAGTTGGTCCGGGACACAGCGGTGCGCCGTTTGCACGGGTACGGCGCGGGGACGCTCAAAGGGGCACTCCCTGATAATGAATTCGTTTAATGAGGCTCACTCCAGTTCGAATAGGTCGAATAGGAGAGAGACATCACTGTTGGTGCTGGGCGTGCTGGGCAGTGCTGGACGTTGCGCGTTGTCCGGCGCGGCCGTTGCCAGGCGACCGCGACGCGCCCCACCGCGCCCCACGTGTCCGCACAGCTGTGCCGCCGCTCTGCTTTCTTTCCACGCACGTCCGCGCACCAGACTCACTCCGACAGTCTTTCCGTCGCTCTGTCCCTCTCGCACTCGTGGAGCGCGCCGTAAAGGCGCGAGAGAGACAGAGCGACGAAGACGACTATCTCGGAGTCAGTCCGCTGGCCACTGGTGTGGCGCGGTGGTCCTGCAAAGCGATTCGCCGATCGGCCGACCGGTCCTTGCGTTGCCTCGCCTTGCTTCGATTAGTCACGTGTCCGTGTGTCCGCAGGTGTGCTGTCTGCTGGTGGCCGCGGCCGCGCCGGCCCTGTGCGGCGACAAGCTGGAGGAGGCCAAGAAGCAGGAGAAGCGCGGCCTGGCGGCGTCCCCGGCCCTCGCGACGGCGTCCCTCGGCGGTATCTCGGGCTACAGCGGCTTCGGCGGCTACAGCGGCCTCTCCAGTGGCTACCTGGCTCCCGCTGGTTACGCCGGCAACCTCGGCTACTCCAACCTGGGCTACTCCAACCTGGGCTATTCCAACCTGGGCTACTCCAACCTGGGCTACTCTAACCTTGGATACGCTGGTCTCGGCCACGGCTACTCCGCCGGTCTTGGCTACAGCGCTCCCATCGCCCACGCCGGCCAGCACACCGTCAGCACCGTCGACCAGGCCGTGCCCATCAGCGTGCCCCAGCCCTACGCCGTGCCCGTGGACCGCCACGTCCCCGTGCCCGTGCCCCACGCCGTGCCCGTGGACCAGCCCCGCGCCGTGCCCGTGCCCCAGCCCGTGCCCGTGCCCGTGAGCGTGCCCCGCGCCGTCCCCGTCGACGTGCCCCGCGCCGTGCCCTACCCCCAGCCCTACGCCGTGCCCTACAAGGTGGCCCAGCCCGTGCCCTACAAGGTGGCCCAGCCTGTGCCCTACACCGTCAACCAGGCCTACCCCGTGCCCGTGCCCCAGGCCTACCCCGTGCCCGTTGAGCCCGTCAAGCAGATCGCCTACAACCTGCCCGCCCCTCAGCTGTCATACGCCACCTCCGCCGCCGCCGCCCCCACCTACAGCCTCAACGCCGCCGCCGCCGCCGCCCCCCACCACGACTACTCGGCGCACGCCGCCCAGGCCGCGCCCTCCTCCGTGTCGTACGCCGCCCAGAGCATCAAGACCTCCTGGTAAACAGCCAGCGAGGCAGCGCCACCGCGCATCCCCAAGACTGATCGTCATTCATTTGTTACTTCATCCTCATCGTCATCACGACATTGTGCAACTAGTCTCATTGTAATGGTTGTTACTTCGTTAATAGAAACGTTTCTATAATTTTTAATCCAGCGCTTCCATTTCTTTACCCTGCGCACCACCCCTCAATGACACAAAAAACAAAAATTAAGACGGAAAAGTTCTGACAACACAAGCAAATATTCCAAGATTTTCGCTGAACATAAATAAGAACCAAAATTGAATCGTCTTAACTAAAAATGACGGGATTCCTCAAGACTGCCCAGAGACACTTTTACTTACCAGTGCGGCGCCAGCGCGACCACGAGCGCGGGCACTCAGCGAGTCGCCATTTACGACGAGAGCCCGGTCGGCCGCACTGGAAAGTCGCGAGAGTGTGAATTCCGAAAAGAAAACGCGATCGCTGGACCGGGTTTCGAAACATTGCCATTGGTGCTTAAGACACCGTCGGCGCGTTACGTCATAACTGGAGCAGATCCTATATCCTCCTTCCTGGGCGAAAAACCGGTCCGGCCTCACGAAAGAGAGAAAAGGCGAGTCCAGTGATTGTCTCCCTCGCCTCGTTTGCCCGGCGTATAATAAGGCCGCCTCCCTTTGGTCCCCTTCGGTCCCGTTCGGTCCCTTGGCGGCGGCACGGCGGGGCAGTCGTTACAGTGGCCACGTAATACGTCAGCTGATGTGATCGTGTCGGCTGCCGGTTTAGGCGGCCCGCCGCGGCCCGCGTGGGAACGGCTGGGATTCTGCGGAGCAGTAATTGTACCGACGGTTCTGGTTCGACCGAGTCGAGTGACACACACAATTTAAATCCGTTTTTGCGTAATGCGTTCCTGTGGCCACTCGTTTTTACCTTCTACCTGTTTAAAATATGCCCATTTTATCTGAGGCACTTAGTCCCTGTGCGTCCACGTAAGTCAGCACTGACACTGATGAGATATATGAGGTCAGATGTTGAATAGATTAGTGGATATAGGGCGAGCCGTAGCCAAAGCATGTTGCATGCAACCATAAGAGTTCCTCACATCTGTGCACAGATTGTTTGGATTTTCGGACTGTGTCGAATAATTGCCCATCGGTGGTGCTTCGCTTTATGCCTTCTTCCGGGCGTCTGTTAGAGTAAGAGTAATTCAACCACTGCCCAATTTCGGAGTCGACGATTCGCTATCAATTTTAAATAAGAGGGTGAGCTATGGCTCAAATGGGTACTGTAACAGACCAAAAGGTTTCGGACGAAGTTGAGTCTAATATTTGACCCCAGAACCTTCTTTGTACAGGATTTGGGCGAGCCGGTCACCGAATGGGTAGAGATCTCAATACATTCATGAACATTCGCGCATTACTTTGGAGTTGAATGTTTTGTTTTGCATGTTTCTATTTTGTTTTTCGTTCGTTCATTTTTATGTGGGCGTTTTCTATGGCAGAAAAAAATCACTCGCAGATTATGAAAGCTTTTTACACTTTATTACACAGTTCACTATCAACAGTCAAGGCACACAACAAAAACAACAACATAACAATACAAAGACTAGTTACATGAGCGTCAATGATGAGGATGGCTTGACAACACCGCAAAATAATAACAATAAAAAAAAGTTAAAAGAAAACAACACAATGGCGGTGTGAAATGAGACATGATACTATACTACAATGAGGGATGATTTGGCGTTTGTCTACTTCATCGACCAGTTTACCCGCGTTGGCACATCAGTCAGGAGGAGGGTCGCCTCGGGCGAGCCCAGCATTGTTGCTCAGTACTTCCCCTTGTGGGATCGGATCGGCTTCCAGCCGGAGGAACCCGAGCTGGTGTGCGAGTAGCTGTCCAGGGCGGGGGGCCCGTAGCTGTCGGAGGGGCCGGAGGAGTAGGAGGAGTACGAGTCTCCGCTCAGGGGCAGCTCGTCGTCGCTGGGCTTGGGGTAGCTGTAGCCCTCGTCGGATGAGTAGGGCTTGCTGCTGTAGCCCTTGCTGGGGTACTTGCTGTAGCTGCTGCTGCTGTAGTCATCGGAGCCCTTGTAGCTGGAGAACTTGTTGTAGCTGTCGTCGCCCAGGGACTTGTAGCTGGAGTACTTGTTGTAGCTGTCGTCGCCGAGGGACTTGTAGCTGGAGTACTTGGAGTAGCTGTGGTCGTCGTGGTCCAGGCCCTTGTAGCTGGCGTACTTGCTGATGGCGATGTCGGACAGCTCGGGGCCGTGGGACGCGTACTTGGCGATCTCAATGCCGTGGCCGTGAGACAAGCCAAGGCCGTGGGACAGGCCGAGGTCGTGGTTCAGACCACCGTAGCCCAGGAGGGCGCCGCCGTAGCCGTGGCCGGCGTACCCGTGTCCGGCGTAGCCGTGCGCAGCGTAGCCGTGGATGGGAGTGGCGACGGTGTGCTGGTGGACGTGCACGGGCACGGCCTGGGGCACGGGCACGGGGACGGCCTGGTTGATCTGGACGGGCACGGGGTGGGGCACCTTGTAGGGGACGGGGTGGGCCACCCTGACGGGCACAGGCACGGGGTGGGGGACGGGGACGGCGCGAGGGACGTCAACGGGCACGGGGCGGGGCACGGGCACGGCGTAGGGCTGGGGCACGGGCACGGGCACGGCGCGAGGGCGGTCCACGGGCACGGCGTGGGGCACGGGCACGGGGATGTGGCGGTCGACGGTGAAGGGAACAGCCTGCGGCACGGGGATGGCGACGTGCTGGTCCACGTGGCTCACGGTGTTCTGCTGCTGCACCAGGCCGTGGGCGGCGTAGCCGAGCTGCCCGCCGTAGCCGATGTGGCCCCCGTAGGCGGCGATGGGGGCGCCGTGAGCGTAGGCACCCTGGGCGTAGGCACCCTGGGCGTAGGCGTAGGCGGGGGCGGCAATGCCGTGCGCAGCGATGCCGTGAGCAGCGTAGCCCAGGGCGGGGGCGGCGTAGCCGTGGCCAGCGTAGCCGTGGCTAGCGTAGCCGTGGGGGACGCCGTAGGCTGCGGCGGGGACTGCGGGGGCGACGGCGTGCTGCTCGACGGTCTCCACGACCTGCTCGGCGTGCTGCTCGACGACGGCGGGGGCTCCGAGTGCTCCACGCTTCTCCTTGTTGTTGTTCTTGATGTCCTGCTGCTGGTCTTGTTGTTGTTCGTGCTGGGGCTGGTCTCCGGCCAGGGCGTGACCCGCGACCGCCAGGAGTAGGCAACACACCTGAAACAAGCCACAAGTGTTGGGGTAAGTCCGGAGAAGTTCAATCATTACAAAGCAATCAAAGCAAATAAATTATTACAAAATTAAATTAAGTTTGGCGGAACGTGTGCCCGCGCCAGAGTGAATCACATTCAAGTGTTGTCCACTAAGTGACTTATAGACAACTTTACAAATAAAGCATCTTTAGATGAAAACATCGTTCAAGTTATTACGTAACAATAATTGTTTTGATTACAACACAATTTGCACTTCATGAGTACACGTATTCCCACCCAAATTAAACGAGAAGAGGACAGGACAAGTTCGGCCGACTGTTCCACATCAAACTCGACATTCTCCCCGCGCGCCACCGCGTCACCGCGCACGTTTCCTTGGCGCCACTTAATTGGCCGACTAATGAGCACAGAGAGCACGCCTTGTCCACTGCACTGCACACTTTCACTGCACTTCACTGCCGATGCACTGTATCCCGGGCGCACTTCCTATCCGCACTGTATCCACGTACCACGAATCTCCTCATGACTGCGTGTATCCACTGGCCGCTGCTGCCGAGACTGGCGAACTGATGCGGTCCGGACGCCGGTCTGCGCTTATATACGGACCGGAAGCCCTGCACACGGTGGTCCACGTTGTCGCCCCGCGCCGCCCCGTCGCAGCCCGCCCTGCCCTGCCCCGCCCCGCCCCGCCCCAGCCGGGCTTCAGCCCCCGCCCCGCCGGAACTACTTTCCTGCTCTTCATACGTTTTCGCAAGCGGCCCGCAAAGGCCACGTATGTGCCCCGGCCGGGTCGCGCAGTTACGCCGGTCCAGAGCCCCCCACTCGGCCGGCCGGGACGGGCCCGGCCGGCCCAGCTGCTCCAGTTCAGGTCACTCCGCGCCGGCCGCGCCGTGTCACTGCCACACCCTCGGCCGGCCCTGCCGGACCAAGCTGGACCTGCACTGGAAAGTCACAGGTCGCAGCGTGCAGATGGGGCCGAGGGGTATCCATCCACCTCCATTCCGGGCGTACCTAGTATCGGTCGTCAGTAGCATGCAACTGGCAACACTCCGCGCGCAAGAGGCTGAAAAGGCGCTGGGTTGGACCCGTCTTCGCTGTTGACTGGAACAAAGTCCTGCAGTCCGTACTGAAAAGCATGGGCATTTGTTGATGGAAATAACCTCCCGACACTTCAAAAGCCTCACCTCGGTTCGAGGGAAGTAATTTAAAATGTGACTTGCCGCAATTGACCATACTCGGGCAGAAGATACGCCTTTTGCTCTCGGGCAGAACTGTGCCCCCGGGTTGGAGACATGGTGCTCAGGTCTGAGGGGCAAGTAAAATTTGTTGAGCTAGGAACGGTAAAGCCCACAATCAAAAATACCACTGAGTGACACAATGATGACGGAGTTCATTTTCATCGGCGGACCTGGGGCATTTGACCGTCTTGACACAACGACAGTGAACACTGGCAAAGCCGTTGTGACTGCAGGATAAAGTGCGCGAGCGGTCGTCATTCTTTGCATCGATTCGTGGCGCTGTTTACACGACGGATACGGTCATTACACTTTCCCCGCGAACAACATTTCCGTCTCACTCACGCCCTCCCCGGTGGACTTCTTTGTCCGCACGTACCGCACCTGCGGCTATCATTTTCCTGCGCGTCATCATATTTTCATGTTTTTGTCGTTGTTTTTTTTCCCTTCCCGTTCATGAAACGCAAGAAAGAGTGATGGATCGAATGATGAAGAGCGAGGAAAGGGGCAAAAGCCGGCCAATGAGAGGAAAAGTGGAATGAGTATCAGTCGGCCTGTCTGCCTACCTGCAGCATTCCGGCAAGGAGGGGGTCGGGAGGCGGGGCACATGGTCCGGGGGGGAGGGGGGGGAGGCGTCGGCCAGGACAGGGGGCAGCGCCGGGCAGCGCAGGACCAAGTCCAGTCCGGTCGACTTGACCATGCCTTCGTTTAAGGAACGCGATCGAGCTGCAACCCAGACACTATTACGTGAACGTGCCCCCCCTCCCCCTCCGAAATCGCTCCCGGGACCTGTGCGGCCGGCGGCCTGCGTCAGCGCGACGTGCTCCAACACATTCCTCTTCTTTGCGACAAACAAGGCGAGCGAAGACTCTGTGCGAGCCCCAACGGGGCCTGGGTCGCCGGCTCTCTCGCACTCGCAGGCTTGCACGGAGCGGTGCGAGAGAGAGAGAGATAGCCGCGGAAAGTTATTCACGCGAGCGATCCGCGGCTTTGTTGTGGCTAATCCACGCGCGCTCGTCGAATGGCATAAGCGAGCGTCAGCCCCCTCCTGGGTCCCCACGCCGAATTAAACAAGCAAGGAAACAAGTCGAGGGATTCCAAAAAAAGCGAGAGAGGGGTAACGCATTGCAGGGACGTGCTCGGGAGACAATGAGCGAGCGAGGCAGAGAGACGCTGCCCCAACAAATGCCCGGCCGCCTCCACGCGGTAAATCCAGCAGCCGGCCGGGCCGGAGCCCGCCGATGCCGGCCGATGCAGGTGGAATAATGCATCCTCGCCGGACGCCCGGTTCTCTCTTTCTCTCTCGCACTCGCGGGGCGACCCGCACGGCAGTGAGGGAGACGGAGGTAGCGAATCGCCCTGCGGAAGGTGTCCGGCCCCAGGCAGCAGGGCCGGGCAGGGCAAGGCAGGACCCGGGCGGCGGGGCCCAGGCGGCCCTCGCCCGAATCCAAACCAGGGCAGCACGAGAGGTAACGACGACACGCCCCCAGGGCACAAGAGCCCATGGGACTGTGCCGGGCTGTGCCGGACTGGGCCGGCCTATGCCGACCAGTGTATTCTCATCCGGCCCTAACCTTGTATTATATTTACCTCCGTAACACCGGTAATGAGAAAAAGGCGCGCATTGCGCAAAGGACATAAAAACGTTTCCCTGCCTGACCAACTCCACAAAGTACATGGGTGTCGTGGTACATACAGCTTGTGCCTTCGCAATCCGGCGCCAGGTGAGTCAGCGCCAAGGACCAAGGGCGAGGCGGGCAGTAACCCTGGAGACTCAAATCGAGTGCGGGGGAGGGCAGAGGGCCCCGCGAGTAAAAAGGGAGAGACAAGGGCCAGGTCAGCGGGTGGAAAGGGCGTAGGGCCGGCCTTGTTACTGGGAGGACCCCGGAGGACTGCGGTGTCACTACAGTGTAGCCGAGAGGCGTATCGCCACCAAACAGTGCTTCCGTCGCTCTCTTTATCTTCGTGTCTCTTTCTTCTTCTCGCAGCCCTGGACGACGCCCTTCGAGTGCGAGAGAGATAGGGTGCCAAAAGCCTTGCACGTAATCAGCCTCCTTAGGCCTCCAACATGAATAAATGGATCGCTCCAACGTAACGAAATGACGAGGCACGTGGACAGTCGCAGAGTGCCGGATGCTGTCCGAATTGGCGACCGAGGCTCTTCCGATAACCGTCTCGGCGGGAAACATGCGAGGAGGCGGTGCGCCGGTAGAGACAGGTTTGCGGTCCGCGCGGGCTAGACGGGCTGGACGTCCGCGCGGGACGCAAGGCGAGACGCCGCCGTCCTGGACAGGTGGCGGGGCGGGGCGTTTCGGACCCCCTCCCCTCTTTCCCCAGGACGCCGGACGAACTTCGATGTGTGTATCGCCGTGCTCTAGAAAGACGGCGTGTAATGGGTCGCGCCGGTTACATCAAGGCTCACACGCACGCACCAACACACACGCCACGCTCTCACTCCTAGGACACGTAGAGGCGAGGGCGAGGGCATAGACGGATAGGTCCGGAATGTCGTTTTCGTCCGCGGGGTTTCCACCCGTTGCCTTAGCGGCACGACACTGGACGTGCGGTGGTGGGGCGAGCAAATCCTTTTTACCCGCATCCCTGCCTTTCAGACTTCCTTGATGGCGAAACAAATTTTTGACGCAACACTTTTTTTTGAAACTTTTAGCCCCATTCCGGAATGGGGTCACGGCCGTGACTGAACGAAACTTATTGTTCCAGACCACAGGCCTTCAATTTGTTATTAGTCTGCTCAAAGTACATTGCGTGCCAAGCCATGCGACCGCCGGCAGCAGGCGGCAGGCAGAGGAGCCATGGAGGAACCACACGGTGCGTGTCGATTCTCCATCCTTTGACCAGGCCGGACCGGGCTGGGCTGCTGGCTCCCAATAAAGGTCTGTGCGGTGAACGCGTTAGCGGCCTAGATTTTGGTAACCGGATATTGGGTGGTACCAATACGACGTAATCCTAACCGGCTAACAAATTTACCATGTTACCCATCGGTGCCGACCGCATCCTACCAGCCGCCGCGCGCCGCTGCCCGCTCCATAACCTCTGTTGCGTTAACAGACTGAGGCCAAAGCCAAGGGTGCCATATCGCGTGAGGCATTAGAAAAGGCCCGATGCTGGGCCTACACGTCCACGCGCTCACGCCGCGCCCACGCCCTCCTCTGATTCGAACGGATCCAAACACGTGAATCGAGCGGTGGCTACGCATGTCTACGCAGGTTAGCGAGCCGAGACCCGAACATGTGGCTGTCTTCGGTTACTGGCCGAACCCAAGTGCTTCTTGCCCCACCCCCTGCCCCACCCCCTGCCGGCTCCGCGGGACGCTTCCAATGATTCGCTCTTTCGGCCTTGCTGTGAGTGCGAGAGAGACCGAGCGTTGGAAGCACCACCCGGGAGCAGCTGCTACGCTTCGGCCCTGCTGCCCCATCGAAGGGTGTGCGTTCTTGCGTGAATTCGCTAGCGCCATTCGGTGAGTAGGCTATGTGCCCCGTGTATTGCCGTCGTAGGTCCGACGCCTGCGAACTGCCTGGTAGGGTAGGCAATCCAGTTACACTTCCCGTGTTTGTCTGAGATAAGCCTATTTTTCTGATCCTAAAACCGTAGCAGCAATTCAGTCGGCAGTTTCAAAACATTTCCGAATGAGCTCTCAGCCATCGAATAATTTGCTAAGGCTCGAGAGGAGAATGGACCTGTTGAGGCGGAGAGGGCAGTCACCCCTTTTCCCCCGCTGAACCTACTCAGCACTCGGCCCAGAGACCGGCATTGAGTCGGCGCTTCATTATACAGTGTAATGGCTGAAAATCCTCCTTCTTTTTCTTAAGCCGCATTCACTGCTTCTCACAGCGGCAGAGGTCAGTGTCCGGGTGTCTTTTTGGAGCAGCATTGCGGACCGCGGACAGGGGCTAGCGCGCCGCGCCCCGAGCCAACTTCGACAATTTTGTCGGTGGCCGGGGACCGAGATAGCACGATGAGCTGCCGGTGTCGGCGTGCAAACTTTGCCCACCTACCCTCGGTACATGTTCACCAGGGCCGGGACAGGGGGCTGGGGTAAGGTTACACTGGGAACTAACGATCCCCCGTAAACAGTCCCTAGGGTAGCGTTACACCTTCAGAAGGCGGGGCAAGTGCACCCAAGCGACTGTTAGGTAAGGTCTAGAAATAAAAACGTCGCATCTTTCCGATGGCTCACGATACTTTGAAAATTTTAACGTACGAAACATTCCAGGAGGAGGAGGATCGAATTGTATTGTGACGGTCCTCGTTGGCGCGCAGTTCAGCAGGTTTGAAGAACGTATATGAAGCGGCCCACCCGAAGTGACG